TGCTCTTCGTGTTTGTTTGGTGTTCTTGTGCATCCCGGGTAGGGCACCCTTGGATTATCTGTTTGTTTTGGCCGACCGAGGGTCTCGTGTTCTTGAGGGGTGTTCTTCTGGCCTGGGTCCGGCTCTAAAAGTGACCTTTCGCAAGAGTGACGGTGCGCGCCCAAGAGGGGTTCCCAAAATCGCTGGGCGCGAAGCGACAGAAGCGGCTTGCGCGCCCGGGTTGGCCACCTCGCGTCCCCCGTGAAGCCGCGCACCAGAGGTCACTCCCACCCAGGGTCACTCTCGGGCCAGACGACGGGGGGGGAATAGGGAAGGGGGGGGGTACGAAATCTGCTGCATGCAGCTGGTTCCAGCCCCACCGAGGGGCCCATTCCTCTGCTATCCCCCCTTGGCTATCCTTCCCTTTCGCCCAGCCCGAAACCTCCTTCGGCTGATCGGGGCCCTCCCAGGGGCCTCGGGCCGCCGCACCGTCCAGTTCTGTGCTCCTTCCTTCTGCATTGGTTCCCTCTTCCCTGGTCTCATCGGTGGTGTCGCCTTCTCGTCGTCCTTCTGTGAACTGGCATCAAGCTAAAAAAGTGGTATGGTCCCCCTCTGTCTGTCTGACTATCTGCCTTTCTACCTCTATCTCTCTATTCCTCTTTCTTTTCGTGGTTTATTTCTGTCTCTCTCTCTCTCTCTTTCTCTCTCTCTCTCTCTCTCTCTCCCTCTCTCTTTCTGTCACTCCTCTCTTCTCTCTCTATATATATATAGAACTATCTATATAAAGCTCTCTCTCTCTCTCGCGGATCGGAGTGAGGGGTGGTCTCGACACGACGCGCTGTGAACTGGAAAATCGCGCGCGGCGCTTTGGCGCCTGCGGAGCCACAAGAAGAAAACGAAGGAGATCACCGGCGACCCGCATATGCCGTGTTCCACAACGGACAAGGGAGAACGATTTCCAAGTGCCGACTTGGCGCCAAAGCCAGGTCGGTTACGAAGATCGTCGCACGAATTCCCGAGCCCCAGTCCGCGGCCTGATTGGAAAGAGCTAAACGAACCATTCAAAGCATGGCCCGCCGCAGGTGCCCATCTTTTGATTTTGAGCATGATTTTGCGCAGCCAAGACTGGGGCCACCAATGTGCCCCGTCGACGCCGCGGGCCCCCCAGGACTGGCGAAACAATTCACGCGAAAGCATGCAAGGAAAAAATCCCGCCGCAGGCGCCAACATTTCATCCTTCGACACTCCATTTCCCTGGAGCCAGAACCGACGCCAACCTTGGGCGCCGTGGCGACGGGCCCCCACGATCCTGCGGGCCCCCCGCGAGGGAGCCCCCGGGCCCCATCCCTCGGGCCCCCACACGACCGGCCCCTCCCGTGGGCCCCGCCACGACGGGCCCCCGCGACGCCGCGGGCCCGCCCCGGTGGGCCCTCGGAGCCCCACCCCCCTGGGGCCCCCACACGTGCGCGCTGGCACCCCGTGGACGGGCCCCGCCGGCCCCCTCCCTTCCCAAGGGCTTCCCCAGGGCGCTCCTGAGCGGCTCCAAGCGTTCGAAGGCCTTCCTTGGGCCCTCCCAGACGCTTCCAAGGCTCCTGAGGGTCCAGGAGCTTCCCCAAGGCTCCCAAGGCCTTCCCAAAGCGCTTCAGCGCTTCCCGGGCGTCCCGCTGCTTTCCCAAGGCATTCCCAGAGCCGTTCCAGGACGCTTCCAAGGCGCCTCCAAGGTCCCTCCCCAGGCCGGGCAGCCGGCGTCTTGTGGCTGCCTCCGTTTGGCCGGTCATTGGCCATCTTGGAGAAGTCGGAAGCCTTGAAACGGGGGTCAATGCAAACAGGGGTCAGCCAGAGCGCCCGATCTTGCAGGATCCTGCAGGGCCAGAGTCGCATTGACCCGGGCATTGACCCGGGTTTGGGTGCAGGATCTTGCAGGCTGGTGCAGGATCCTTCGCATTGACCCGGGTCTGGGTGCAGGATTTTGCAGGAGTCTGCAAGGCCTGACTGACCTGGGTCTGGATTGACCCGGGTCAGAAGATTCCCGAAGAAGTCTTGGGCCGTCTTATCTCGAGTTAGTCGTGGGTATCCGTGGGAATCCGGGCGCCATCTCGGGGCCATGCTCTGGCCGCCTCGGACATATTGGGAGGGGCTTCGGGGAGTCCTTTCTGGTTTCTAGTGACGTCTGGTAATCTTTACAAGGATAGCGGCGTGAGGCAAACAACATGTAGATATGACATATCACGGTGTTCAGCGCCACGGGTTCTTCAGGGGCCTCCTGGGAAGTTGTTGGGGTCTTTTAGTACCCCCCCCCCCCATGGAGTAGATCTTGGCTGCTTTGGACGCCTGTCTCGAGCAGGTGGAGTCTCCGCCACATGACGCACTGCTGCAAACAGTCACACGAAGCAGAGGTCGGGAGCCAGACCCCCCCTCCCCCCCTTCCACCCAATGACGAAGCGCCGACTCAGAAAAAGTTTACCAATGATATTGGCCTCATGGAGGTCCTCTTGGAGCCCTCTTGGGGCGCCTTGGTGGCCTCTCGGGCCGTCTGGCGGGCGTCTTCGGCCGTCTTGGGTGCATCTTGGACCATCTTGGAGGCGTCTTGGGGTTGTCTTGGGCCCTTTCGGGGCCATCTCAGCCGTCTTGGAGGCCATCTTGTGGTTAGTCTGGAGCGGGACGACCGACGCCCGGGACATTTCCGCGGCTCTCCGTGTGGCTGGCGCGCTGGGCCGAGATCCCGGTGGAAATTTGTAAAGTAGATTGAACAGTCAAACGTTCGGCACGCCACGCACCGCTTTGATCGACAGGGGACGGCGGGTCAAAGACGCCTACGGCGACACAGCCGCCCCCTGCTTTTTGAAAGCTCCCACGTGGCCGAACTTTGCGGCCAGAGCTCGGCCAAACTATTGGACAATGTGTTCCCCCAGGCGTTGTGGAAGGCCTTCGGGAAACACGTGGGGGAGAGAAGAAGAGGAGGAGGAGAGGTAGAAAAGATGAGGAGAAAGAGAAGGAGGAGGAGGTCTCTTGGAAGCTTCTTGGGGCACTCTTGGGGCCTCCCGGGAGCTTCCTGGGGGCCTCTTGGAGGCCTTCGGGGGGCTCCCTTGGGCCTCTTGGATGCCTCTGGATATTCGTTGTGAGACCCGTAGGCCGTCTGAGGTGTTCCTGGCCCGTCTGACGCCATTTCGAAGCCGCCTTGGGGTCCTCTCTGCGCCGATTTTTGGCGCTTCAGGGCCTTCTGGGAGGCCATTTGGAGCGTCTTGGAGGTCGCCTGGGCCGTCTTGGGGCCATCTTGGGGCCCTCTTGGGGACCTTTTGGGGACCTCTTGGGCCGCCAGGGAGGCCATCTCCAGACCTCCCTGGGCGCTCTTGGGCCCATTTTGGTGGCCTCCAGGGCGTCTTGGGCCGTCGGAAAGCCGAACGCCTCACTCAGCACAAAACAATTGTTGACCTCTTCTGGCCGTTCTGGAGGTCCTCTTGGGGGCCTCTTGGGCCGTCTTGGAGGCCTTCTTTGGCGATCTTGAGGTCATCTTGTGGGCAACTCGGCCCGTCTTGAAGACATCTTGGGTCCATCTTAGGCTCTCTTGGTGCCATGGCAGCCGTCTTGGGGACAACTTTTGCCGTCTGGAGCGGGAAGACAGACGACCTGGGAAGTTTACGGGCCCTTGCGGAGCGGAAGAGCCATTGTTTTGGGAAGATTCGAAAAACCACAGATCAGTTGCCACGCCGGGCATCTTTGTGGCAAGCCAACAGGGGACGGCGGATTTAGGCCTTCGTCCCAACCCGCCGTCGAGCTTGGGTTGCGGACCAGAAGCCCCTTAGCCTCTTAGATGTCTCCTAGGAGGCCTCTCGGGCGACTCTTGGAGTCCTCTTTGGCCCTCCCTCCGGGATCTCCTGAGGGCCTCTTGAGAACCTTGGAGGCCATCTCGGGATCCATGGCTCCAGATGTCAGCTCGTGCTCGCCTTCCTGGGCCAGTGTCGGAACTGTCCTGGGGGCCTCGCGGGCCCCTCCTCGGGGCTTGGAGGCCGTTTCGGGGCAATGTTGGAGACCTCTCGGGACGGCTCGGGCGCTTTTGAGACCGAAAAGGCGATTGTGCTGAACTCACACACAAACATACAGTCAACGCGCCCAGTAAGGACGCGCGTCTTCATCTATGGTGCCATTTGTGCCCTTGCCTTTTGTGGCACGTCCTTTGTCGTTTTCGCTGGTCGCCCGCCGCCCAATAAGAATGCCGACTTCGGCCTCCAAGGGTCTTGCGTCCTCACCTCCCGTCCTCAAGACACGTCTTGGCCGTACACGACGATGCAGCGCTCTGGCCCCGGAGAGCGGGCCCCCTGGGGCCAAGACGCGCACACGCGGGCTCCAGGACGGGCCCCGAAGTAACACGAGAGGCCACGCTGGGAGCATCAGATCCCAACTGCGCTTGCGGTGCCCCCTCTGACACAGTCACGCGAGCAGCCGGGAGACGACGACGACGGCGACGGCGACGGCGACGGCGACGTCGACGGCGACGACGACGACGACGACGACGGCGACGACGCCGACGGCGACGACAAAAAGGGAAAAAGGGAGGGGAGAGGAGACGAGGAACAGGAGGAGGAAGAGGAGGAGGAGGATGAGGAGGAGGAGTAGACGGACGACGAGGACGACGACGACGACGAGGACGACGACGAGGACGACGAAGACGACGACGAGCGCCCGAGAGCGCCCCTACACTCAACGCGGAGAACTCGAAATGACTTGAGGACCCTCCCACTCGGTGCCTTCGGTACGATGCCGGAGTTACGCATACACGTGCCCCCCCATGCCTAGCATGCGATTGCAACAATGTCTTCTTTCAGCGTGTGGTAGGCTGTTATCGTTGGGCAAGTCGTGGCGGACGAGAAGAACTACGGCAAGTTGGCGGCGCAGAACGTGGTGACCCAGGGCAGTGAGCAAAATGAACCGTCTTGAAGGAAACCCAGGGATCAGTGGGAGAGCGAGGTCGGCTTTGGGGGATAGGGTTGCAACGACGCCTCCGAGAATGGGGGATGTCGATGTTTGCGTGCGCGCGCGGGACAAAAACGGTGGGAGGAGCGGTGAGAACCAGATTGGCACGGGGTGGCACAGCCAGCAGGCAACAGTGAGAACAGCCCCCTCCAGTTCCGCTCGTGCCAGAGCCGAAGCACAGACGCCCAGCGCATCCGCACGAGGCAGAGCAGCACGTGCAGCCGGGCGGGGTGCGGCTCGGTCTGGAGCTCTTCTCGCGGAGCCCACCAGGGACGGCGACTTTCTCGCCCGATCTCCCTAATTGTTCAAAGCGCCTGGTTTGACAAGCAAGCGTGTCTGTGTTTTTTGTTTCGCGTCAATGGCCAGGGCTGTTGCCCATCCTTGCCGGAGAGGCCCAGCCCAAGTCACAGCGGACCTGGAGTTCCAGAGAGGACCCAGATCGTATTGGACGCAATCGTGGACGAGGAAGGAACGGTTGGAGGAGGTGAGGGATGCACAGGAGGATGACCAGAAGGAAAGTTTGGAGGATAAGGAAGGACAAGGACGAGGAACAGCAAAAAGAGCCAGAGTGGAATAGGCGGCAGAAGCAGGAGGACCACGGGAAGGCGGAGGAGCAGAAATGAGGGGGCGATAGCAATGACACAAGGATTCGGATCAAAAAGTGTCTTTCGCTGGGGCGGGAGCGCCAGTCCGATCGACCTGGGCAAAGCGCCGATCCGAAAATGAGGGCCGAAGCTGCAGCCGGAGCACCAATTTGAGATGTCGCAGACAATCGGATTGTAAAGCAAATGAAATGAACCCATGTGTTCAATCTCTTGGGCGTGAGTCATACAGTGCGCGAAGAGACAGAGTCAGGGAGGAGAGGACAGGTGTCAGGGTGTCAGGGGAGAGAGGAGAGTAGTATTCATAATGTGGAGTCGACGATGGGATGAGAGGGCAGGTGAAGAAACAAAACAGAACAAAGGATGACAGGGCAACGAAGAAGACATGATTGTAAGCGTATAAACTTTCAGGGCTCCGCGAGGATTTCTTGGATCGGCGCTGGACCCCCCTGGCGGCGGCTCCAGCGCCGCATCTGGATCGCTCCGTGCGCCGTGGAGGAGATTCAGCGCAGCTCCGAAAGTTGATGCTTATGCAGTGCGTTCTTCTTCTACCATGGCAGGACGGAGGTGTCCAGAGGTCGCCAGAGGCCGTTGGAGGTCCCCAGATGGCCCCAGAGGCCCGAAAAACGTTACACATGCCAGCAAATGTTGACCAACAAATCGGCACTCGGTCCAAGAATGGGTCTGTCTTCACCTGTTGATCCCCGATACCAGACCTTTCCAGGCATTGGAGGGCCCCCGGGCATCCCATCTCATCGTGTGGGCCCCAGATCCCTTCCCCTGGGCGCCACTTCCTCGTTCAGGACAACTCTTGTGGACGGCTCCGGGGCTCAGAAGCGCCCCGGATGTTGACACAGAAACGACATTTGTCCTGATATTTGTTTTGTTCCTCGAGGTCCGGGGCAGAGGCATGTCTCAGGCGGGGCTAGGACGAGGCAAAGCCGTTCCAGAGCGTTCCGGAACGCTCTCAGAGCCTTTTGGAACCCTCTGAGAAGGCAGCGGTGCCCGAGACATCTTTCGCGCCCCGTCTCAGAGTCCCGATCCATCTTCGTCCGATGTTGTCCTCGTCCTGGCTTCGTCTTAATGTCCAGGTCTCGTCGGGCGCCCTGTGGGCGCGTTTTCAGAGCGCGCGAGCGGGCGAGCGCGCAGGTGTCGGCACCGCAGGCTGGCGGCGACCTGGCCGGGTTGGTCGCCGCGCTGACGCGCGCCGCCCCCCACCCCCTTTCGCAGGTAGGCCACCCAGGTGGGGTCAGAGTTGTTAGATGCTCGTTGGGGGGACCTTCCTGGGGTCCCACGCGGATCTGTGCGATTCTAGCTCGACCCCATTTAGACTCCAGTTCGACTCAGGCTCGTCGGCGGACCTTCGACGCAGGTTCGACGCACGAGTGGAGCGCGTGGCTCCGGGAAGGTCCCCAGAATGAGCATTCGTATAAGATTTGCAGGGGTCGGAGGATCGCACCGCATCGTCGATTCGTCGGCGATGCGGCCCGACGTGTGGCCCGATTTTCATCCACGCCGGGCGTCGCCCACGCCGACGTCGCTGATGCATCGGGGATGCGGCGCGACCCTCCGACGCCATCTGCTCGGATCCTTTCAGGGGGGCCTCGACGCATCAACCCTTCACCTCTCAGTTGGCAACTCTCGCGAGGTTGGATTACCCAAATTTCTGAGTGCAGTCTCCTGGGACAAAATTCAGCAACGTAGTGTTTTTGTTGTTATATTTCGCCGCTCAGACTTTCCAGGAGGCTGGCGCCGCATATCCGTTTCTCCTCCTCGTCCTCATTCGCCTCTGCGTCCTCCTCGTTCACGAAGTGATGCCAGAGGAAGACGATGAGAGTAAAGAGTAGTTAGAGGGTGTGAAAGGTCGGCATCTAGCTCGTCGTGTTTGGGAAACTGGTCTGTGTGTGGCCAGGCACTTCACAGCCATAGTCACGCGGATATTTCATGCATGTATCCCATTGACAGTTCATGGTTCTTCCTTCTTCCGCGCTTCCCCGCCCTTTTATCCTTTTTCCTCCGTGTTCCCGAGTACTAGCCGATTGTGTGCGCAGCCGCCGCAGCCAGAATAGCACGGTCGTGGTTAAAGGGAGGTTGCGAGGGACAGTTGACAACGAAAGGATATGTTGTGTAATTGTGACGTCGAGGGTGAAAATGTGGTGGTGAAGATCAGGGCGGTGATGATTTCATCATTTCGTCATCATCCTCATCATGATCGACAAGCAGACCCAGACAGCGGACGACCGGGTACTTTCGAGTCAGGAGGCCCCGGTCAGCTGAACTGTTTCCTTGGGACGGGTGTTTATCCCGAGTCGATGTTCGATTGTCCTGGGGCTCGAAAGCGGCCTGCGGAGGCCGGAAATGCAGGACAGCATGAGGCTCAATCTATTCTAGTCTTTGCAATCTGGGTTTCGGGGCTCAAACGACCAAAGTCACCCCTGGAGCTGTGCTGTCGTGTTTTCGGCCAGAATCTCGCTGGGAATCCAGGCCGTGGCGACGAGGTGCATCCTGAAGGCCCTAAAGGATGACGCACGCCCTGGAACCTGCATCCTCGCCCACGATCCTCGATCTGCAGACAGGTCGGCCCCCAGACCTCCGACGTGCTCTCTTCGCAGCGTGGATCAGGGCTGGACCTAAACGGTGTCATGGGCGATTTTTTGGGCCGTCTTCGTTTCGAGTTCGTTTTGCGGCAAGGACGGATTGAAGACGAAAAGAGGGAACGAAAACAGAACGAGAACGAAAATCACCGTTCAGGCGCAGCCCTGGCGTGGATCCCCGCAGGTCTCGACCCCTCCCCCGGGGACAGCACTTGCAAATCGCGAGCTGCTCTTGACCGCCCCCTCTTGCCGTGCACCGTGCTTGGTGCCCGAGGCCGCCTGCGCCCCCCTCGCCCGCCGCCTCCTCCCGCGGCCGCCCTCTTCTCTTCCAGTCTCCTCCTCCTCCTCCTTCCTCCCTCCTCCCTCCCTCCCTCCTCCCTCCCTCCCTCCCTCCTCCCTCCTCCCTCCCTCCATCCCTCCCCCTCCCTCCCTCCCTCCTCCCTCCTCCTCCCTCCCTCCTCCCTCCCTCCATCCCTCCTCCTCCCTCCTCCCTCCCTCCTCCTCCTCGCGCTCCGTGCCAGGCGCGCCCCCCGTGTAACAGAAAGGAGCGTCGGACAACCCCTGGGCGGCTGGCAAGATCCCACGGAGGCCAGAAGTACGCAGCCCCAAAACGGGTCCGTCGTGTTTTTGTGCACGGCGCTCGCACTGCCGCGCCATCGCTCGCTCGCGCTCCCGTGCCCGGACGTGCCTCGTTCGCTCGCATTGCCGCGCCACCGCTCACGTTCCTGGTTGGTTTGGGTCGCGCCCCCCCCCCCCTGGACAGGCTTCGAGTTCACCCTTATTATATGCATACGTCGGAGGTAAGGGGGTGAGATCGCAGTGAAACGGAGACCCCCCACCGGGAAGTAGGTTTCGGTTTCGTGTTCGTGTCGTGCGTGCGGGCGAGGTGAAGCTGCGCGTGATCCTCCTGTAGCTAGGCCGAAGTAGGAGCGAAGGTCCGTTCCCGTCCGCCAGTGGCTGGGAGGTGTCCCAGTTGGGCCGGGCAGTGTCCCGGGTGTCCCGGTCCTGGGTGTCAGTATACTGAGGAGCGTTTCCCGTCCGCCGGTGGCCACAAGGTGTCCCAGTTGGGCCGGGCGGTGTCCCGGGTGTCCCGGGCGTCCTTGCGCTAACGCATGTCGCTAATTTCATAGTTCCTTTGTTTGCGGCGCTTGCGGCGGGCTTTCTTGTCCAATCCATCTTATCTTATCTAAGACATCTTGCCCTATCCAATCCATCTCATCTTATCCAACCCATACTGCTCCATCTTATCTTATCCACCCAATCCAATCCCACCCAACCCAATCCATCACTTCAGTTGTTTCTGCGCCTGCGGCGGGCCAATCCAATCCATCTAATCTTATGCAATCCATTTCTTCCAATCCAACCCATATTATCTTATCACATCCATCTTACCCCATCCAATCAACTCCGACTCCACCCACCCAGCCCAATCCATCAATTCATTTTTGTCGGCGCCCGCGGCGGGCTTTCTTATCCAATCCAGCTTATATTATCCAATCCATCTTGTCCAATTCAATACATCCGATCAGATCCAACCCATCTTGTTCCATCGAATCTTATCCCACCCAATCCAATCCACCCAACCCAATCCATCATTTCAGTTGTTTCTGCGCCTGCGTTGGGCCAATCCTTTCCATCTTACCCGGTCCATTTTGTCTAATCCAACCCATCTTATCTTGTCCAGTCCATATTATCCCATCCAATCCAATCCACCCAACCCAATCCATCAATTCATTTTTGTCGGCGCCTGGGCGCGAGAGAGAGAGAGAAAAAGAGACAGAGAGAAAGAGAGGTATGAGATGAAGGTGACAGGTTGGAGGTCCGTCAGGGTGGGCATTTGATTTCAATCTTCCCCCAATCTCCTGATCGCCCGCAGGGCGGTCGTATAGGTAAAACATACACGCACACACCTCTGAGGTTGTCCAGCCACGGGCGACGACGGTCTCAGGGATGCGCCCTCAGAGGAAGCTGTGCGAGTCTTTCAGATTGGCGCCGAGATGAAGCGATGCCAGTCGTAGCGATACTCGCGGGCAACACGTGTGCACCACACCGCGTTGGCGTCTTCCGACGCGTCGCCTGTCCTGGACCGATTTTTTTTTGGCCACCATCGCCGACAAGCCAGAAGTTCCGCACCGCGTTGGAGCGGGGCCTGAAGGGAGTCCGAACATGGCACGGCGCTTAGGATAGAATTCTTGGGAGGTTACAGTCAGCATCGTCGCCAGTGCGAGAGCCGGTCTAATCTGGCATCGTCCCAGTCAATATCGCCTCTAATTTGCTTGCCATGGTCGGTTTTTCCAGCTCATGGCCTTTTGATCGAAACATGTGTCCTATTGGCGTCGGATAATTCAGCGGTGGCATGGCGAAGCGCCTTGGTTCGTCTACAGGTCCACCAAGCAATGTTTTGAAAGTTGCTGGTTGTGTTCTCAGAATAGTATTAGAGCATAGATGGTTGAGACTGTTGTGTTTTATCACATCGGCTTCATGTTCTAAAAAGTCATGGTTTGATATTATGGCGTTCTTTTGTTCTAATAACATGTCGCGGTTGGCATATAGCCATGCCGGGACGGTTCGTTCCTGCTCAAGGTCATCGGTTGGGTGGTAATGGGGGTGGCCTACATGGGGGGTGAAGAGATGGGCCCTGTAGGGCCCTTTTCTCCACTCCCGTTTCTGGGCCGCCCACCATTACCACCCGCCCGAGATAAGCTCGCTCGTAGCCGCCGTGCTGCCGAACTGCTTGGCGGCAGCACGCGGCGGCCCGCGGCCCACAGGCCCGCCCTCGCCGGCTCCCCGGTGGCGCCCGCCAGCGGCGCGGCGGCCGCAGACCAAGTGGCCCGCCCCTCGGGATCAGTCTCGATTTGATTGATGATCGCAGGCGACTTCTGTTCCCCGCTCGCGTGTCCTCCCTCGTCCCTCTCGTCGCTCGTTCCTCCCTCGCCTCTCTTCTCCTCGGCCTCTCGCCCCCGCTGGCCGTGCGTCCCTCTCTGCGCTCGTGCGTCCTACCTCCCCCCCCCTCCCCAGACGGTCATTAACAGTTTTTGTGTCTGTCAATCAGCGGTCGCAGGCGGGCCCGCCAGCCTGCACGCAGCCTACCGCCCTCTCCTTTCATGGGGGCCAGTGTCTGACTGCTTCGGGCGCGCTCGCAGTCCCGGGGCTCTGCCCGCAAAGTTTGGCCACTCCGAAAAAGGGGGAAACCCTAGGATGCTCCCCGAGGCGGCGATTTCGGGACGCACCGTTACCGAGGGAGGGCGCCCCCCCATCGTATATCCGAGGGTTGGGCCCAACAATTTTGATCCGTTCGAACATTCCGCGAAGCCTGGGACAGGGGTCGACATCCCCTGTTGGATGATTTCGAAGTTTCTGGGTCTCGAGGTTCGAGGTTTCGAGGTTCGAGGTTCACGGTTCGAGCTTCGATGATCTCGGGTTCGAGATTCTCGGGCGTTCCCGTCGTCCCGCACGGCTGCCGGAGACCCGAGTTATGACCCGAAGGCCGACCAGTGTCGGCTCGATCGACGATCGATCCGATTTCGACAAATTGAGGACGAGAGAGAGCGGCGCCGGGTTCCCCCCGGCGGCGCCTCCGGGGCCGATGCGAGAGACCCGTCCAGATTTCCAAGATTGCCCACACCGTGCCTGCCTGGGACTGGGCCCGGGCCCATTTGCGGGCCCAGCGGCCCCGTTCTTCTCCGTCGGCCCGTCTGCGGGCGCCGTTCCTGTCCGCCGCCGCGCATCACATAATTTACGTCACACAGTCTACACCACATAGCTTACAACACAGATCGTACACAACATATGTTGCACCATATAGCTTACTCCACATACCCTGTACCACGTAGTACTGGCCTACACTTAAATCACACGGCTTGCACCACATAGCTTGTACCAGGTAGCGTACACCACACAGCTTATGCCACATAGCCAAGACCACAAGTATTGCATCAACTAGCTTGCACCACGTAGACTGCTGCACCGCATAACTTTCACCACGTAGCTTTCTCACCACCTAGTCTATTCCACATAGCTTGCACCATCTATAGCTTTCTGCACATAGACTGCGATCATAGCTCCCACCACATCGCTTTTACATGCACAGTTAGATACGTTGATTGGGGGGTCCATGCTGGCTAGCAGTTTTCCCCAGACAGTTCTTGCACTTGAAGGGTGATTGCCACTGTTCTAAGGAGTTGGGCTGGTGTGCGGCTCTGGCGGCTATGTAGTTGCCGTCGCCGCCACGTCGCCGCCACGTCGCCGCCACGTCGCCTCACGTCGGCTGGGCCGCTGGGCCGTTTTGGCAGTTGTGTAGCCGCCGTCGCCGCCTTGTCGCCGCCCATCGTCGGGGCTTGTGCGTCGGTCTGGCGGCTATGTCGTCGCCGTCGCCGCTCCGATGCAGCCTCGTCGCCGCCCCGTCGATTCTCCTCTCATAAAGAGTAATCGGGTCTACCCGCCCCCCCCCCCCGAAATTAACAGTTCCCCTTTTCGTATTGCAAATTACATTTGTTTATGACGTTTGTTTTCGTATTCGGACCACGCCAGCCAGGCCAAGATCGTCCCCCTTCACCCCTTGCAAAAAGATACTATGCGCGCGTAGTCGTTTACCCAGCAGTTTTCAGCAATCCATGGCAACAAATGAGACGACTGCACACGCGCGTCGTCGCGCGCGCATGCCAAAATCCTTCAACATCCTTTGGTGCTGTAAGGATTTCGAAGACGAGTGTCCTGAACACATGTAAACAATCACATGGTTTCGCAACAAGGATTTTCAAATAAAGCTTGCGTTCGGGCTCTTGCGCACTTTAAAGAAACCATCGGGTTTTCAAGAGTTCTACCACATGCTACCAAACGGGCTCCTCGCGCGCGCATGCCGGATCGCTCGAACGCCTCTGCGCGCATGTTGTCGCAAGAATCTTTTGCAGGGCATGGGACGACGTGCACACGCGCGCGTCCCCAAGCGCGCATGCCGAGAGCTTCGAAACACCGTCGGTTTCGCAGGGGTTTCAAAGTTGAGTGCCACGAAAACGTACGAAAAACACGAACAAACAGAAGGCCTGCGCTCGCGCTCCTGCCTATGTTTAAGAGAACCATAGGTGTTGCAGCATTTTTCATGAAATTCTGCCAAATGGGCCCCTCGCGCCGCGCTTCGGAATCATTCGAACAGCCTTGCGCGCGCGCTGTGGGGGCACGATCCCCATGCGGGCCACTCTCGTGCCCCGGCCGCGCATGTCGAACTCATCATGCATGCCGCGCATGTCCTTTACACGATTGCTCCCATCCTTCATCCCCCCCTCCTCAACCACTTAGTACCCAATCTAACCTCCTCCCCATCGCACTCATTTTCGCATCTCCTCGCACATGTTGCTCCTCCTCATCCGTGAGCAGGAGTGCGGTTCAGAGAGTGTCGAGTAAGGGCTTGGGCAGGAAGGGCAGGGTAAGGATAAGGAGCAGCGGCAGGGAGAGGGAGAGGAGAGGTAAGTTAGGTTAGTTAGGAGAGGAGAGGAAAGGAAAGGAGCATCGGCAGGAATGGTCAGTGAGGAGAGGGCGGGAAGAGGTAGAGGACGACCACTAGCAGGGGCAGGAGACGGGAGGAGCGGACCGGTGGGAAAGCGAAGAGGAATGATCAGGAACGGGCAGCAGAGGGGACGCGTCGCAAAAGAGACAGTGCACAAGAGATGGGGATAGGGCGTGGTATCGGGGACATGGCGCCCGATTCAAACGTGCGCAGGATTCTGTAACATAGCAGGTCCGGCGATGGGCGTCACATCCAGCTCGGGTTTAGCCAGGAGCCCAGGTAAGGGGACCCGGTTAGTGATAAGGCCTTGGAGCCCCTAAATTGGCCAGAATCACTAAGCCAAGTCTGCCGTAGTTGGTTTTGTTTCGGGTGACGGCAGTTCCAGTTAGTGGAACGGGCGGGGGGGACGTCCCGCAGTACACATCACTAAACCAGGTCCCACTAAACCCAGTTTTGTCAACGCCCGACCAGCCGCATTTATGCATATAGAACAATGAGTTGCCCGTCTGCATGTGCATCTCGCCCCGCACTTAGTACATACAACTTCTTAACGTCGGTATCTGAATTCATAGGTTTGCACACGAACCATGACTCTTGGTTCCTGCATACACGGACATCTACAGGGTCCAGTATTTGCGCGTATGCCACAGTTGCGATATCCATTGTTTGTCTGTCGCAGACCAGTTTCATCTGGCATTATGTGTATCACGCACGTGTACAAGGCTTGTGTGTCCGATTGCACTTTGTCAGTTGAGGAAGTAAACATCCAACAGCATCCAACAAGCATGTGCACATCTGTGTATCAGTGTGCTCTATGGACGCGGGCTCGGGAACCCATCTCGAGGGCAGCTGGCAATGGCTTGATACCTCGCTGTAGAAGAGGACGTTCGTGGTGGGGCGGGGTAGGCTGCGTGGGCAGGGGCAGGGGTAGGGACAGAACAATTGGTTCCGAGGTTTCGGGTGGGGGGATTTCCATTTGCGCCCCCCCCCCCTCCTGCCTCTGGAGTGCTCTGCTGTCGACTGCCTTCGTGGGAATTCTTCGGGTCCCCCGAGCCATCGTGGAGACCCCGCGGGAAGACCCGCGCCCGCCCCCCCCCCCCCCCCCGCGGGGACCCGAGAGATCCAGGGTGCCGAGGGGCCTATGTTGGGAGGTCCGCGTCGCGCCCCAGCAGCCGTCAGACAATGTCGTTGTGTGCGAGCAGCCGGTCCGAGGGGGTGTCCGAGACAGAGCAGGGCGAGTTGAGACAACGGTAGGCTCGGCCATACGTAAGAGTGACTGTTCGCTGGAGTGACCTTTGGTGCGGGCACACTGGGGTCCACAGATGGCTGAATGCTATGCGATAGCAGCGGCTTGCGCGCTCCGATTCGGCCTCCCCACGGCCCCCGAAAGTTGCGCACCACAGGTCACTCTTGCCTAGGGACTCTTGCGTGTAGCCGATCGGTGGCCTTTGGGGGGCCGTCGTCGCCACGGCTGGACGCAGCCGCTCGGCAGACTGGCGCGTTTGGACGGGACGCCGGGGGAGGGGTCGGGGAATCGATTCTGTGTTTCCGTTGTCTCATCTCGCACCTTTTCCGAGAAGAACGGGGGGGTTCGAGTGCTCCAGGGCCCCGAGGGGCCCATCGGGAAGCCCGCGTCGAGCCCCATTGCTGTCGGGTGCGGGAGCTCCAGGGGCCACAGACGCTGGAGGGCCTCGAGGGAGGATGGTGAGGGACGGTGGGTACGGTATGAGGGTGAGGGGAACAGGGAGGAAGAGTGGGCAAGTGGCCGGAGGGGCGAGAGGCGGGGACGGGTGTCGCATTCTGTTGACGCTTCGCTCCGTGGTTCTGCCGCCGCCGCGCATCTCCTGTTTCGCCCCTTTACCCTCCAGCTCTTCCTTATCCTCCTTCTGTCCTCGTCAGCCCTCTCATCATCCTCATGGTCGGCGTTGGAGGCCAGGCATTTTGAGCTTCGACGGAGTGAGGATTCTCACTGAAACTCACTCACACGACTTCCGCCCCATACATTCTCCAATCCTGGCCGGAAGCCCGCGTTGACCCACAGTAATGAACCTCGAAAACCCATGACCCTTCTATTGGAGGACAACAGTCATAGGCCGCCGCAGTGCAGACGAAAGCAGGTGACAAAGAGGGAAGATGGAGGCCCTGAGGTTCAGAGGTCATCGGCATGTGCCGACGATGGACCTCGAGAACTCATGGACCCCCGAGGGGAAACGGACGAGAATGATATCTGGAAGGATGGAGGCCAGCCCACATATTTGGAAAGGCTGGCGCAGGAGATCGACACGTTTGTTCGCCGCCGGATAGAGAAGATTTGGGAAAGTGGAGGCCCCAAGGTTCAGAGGCCGCCGACTGGTACCGATGACGAACTTCGAAAACCATGCTTTTTCAGTGACGACCCTGAGATCGCAATGCTTCTGAACTTCTACAGTCATACAGCGATCGACGAAGGAATCACGACGAGCGTTTTGCAAACGTGTACATGAAAGACACAGTCGCCGAAGGTTCTGTCATAGAACAGGTGGCACGGAAGCGCAACGGACGAACTACGGGCCGCATCTTCGACACGATCTGGAACCATATTGGCCATTATTTTTCCTGCGGGTGAATTGCGTCGCAAATTGGCTTCCAGCGGCACAGCACGCAGTTTGGCAGAAGTGGAATTCGCTTTTTCGGCGTTCGAAAGCGTTGGTGGGCGTATTGCCAGTGCGGGAGACAACTACACAGCTGCTACTCCGTGATTAATACGCTCGCTCAGAATGAGAAAGTCTCGTCCTCGTTCAATCTTCTGCGCATGCCGCATGTATCCCCAGGCGTTTTGGGGTGCGTGTGACCTTGCAAAGAACGGAAATAGCGGACGCAGAGCATTCTTGAGCGCGTTTGGCGCGGGGGGGGGGAATCTGAACGCGTTTGGCGCGGGAAGCATCTGTCGCGGCGTAGTGAGTGGAGAGCACGAACGAAAACATCTCGGAGTGGTGGAGGCTCCGTGGAGGTGCGTGCGTGTGGGGGGCTTCGGAGTGCAGGAGTTCTTTCTCGCAAATTAAACAGGGGCTCAGGGACCCCCCTAATCGGGGACCCTGTTCGCCAGCGCGCCTCCAGAGGGGGCCCGCGCAAAGACCAGCAGCTGATCCCTACGCACTGACCCGCAGGGGCTCGTCTGATCCAGTGCGCCTCTCCCACAGGGCCACCTCTGATCTCGCCTCCTTGGGCTCAGGTATGCCCCTGGCCTGCCCCATGAAAAGTTTGGGATTGCGGCAGATTCGAATCGCAGGGGATATTGCTAGTTGTGCGCGCAGCTCCTTCGTAGGTGTTGACGTTGGCCCCTTTTTTATGCGGATGGCCATGACCACGATCAGCATAATCATGAACCCTCCGCCCCACGGGGCCTCCGAGGGTCCCGCCTGTTCCCTCCAGGCCCATAGCGCCCACAGCGTCGGTAATCCCGGTTCTCTTTCTACTCCTGTCGTTGCCGCCTCTCTTTCGGACGTAACCCCTGGGAGGTTAATCGACCATCGGCGCTGAGATAACTCCGCCTTAGCTTTCCGAGCATGGCCGAATCCCAAGCGTTCGTATCCCCACCAGCCCATCAAGCAACAGTGCCCGGACGAGATGCCCTGATCAGGGATGTCGAAGAGGGTGCAGTGGAATAAGATATTGGGTAACATTTGTGTGCCCCACGAGTGGGAGGATGGAGAAGGCATCAGAGGAGGAACAAGAGAAGGAGGAGGAGGCGAAGACAAAGGAGGAAACAGGGGGAGGAGAAGGAGGAGACGGAGGAGGAGGAAGAGGAGGTGGGAGATGGGGGGAGGCAGGAGGGAAGAGGAGCAACACGCGGAGAAGGGAGAGGATGATAAAAGGAGGGCCAAGGAAGGGAGGAGGAAGAGGAGGATGAGGAAACGGCCGCACAGAAGAGCCAACCGCCTCTTGAATGCCTCTCAGGGTCTGATCGGATGCCTCTTGGAAGTTGTTGGAGGGCCTCTTTGGGCGCCTGGAGTGGCAGACTGGCGAGCCCAACTGTGTATTTGTGCGTCTTGGGTGTCTCGGGGACTCTCTTGAAACCTCTTTGGGGTCTTTTGGGAGCCTGATGGCTTCTTGAGGTGCCCTGGGCGCTTTTCGGGAGCCTCTTGGAGTTGTCTTGAGGGCCTCAGAAGCCCTCTTAGAGCCATGTGGGAAGAGCTCGAGCAAACACGGGAGGGGCCCTTGATTAGCCTCCCCCCCGGATGCCCCCACAATCGCCTCTTGAACCCTTGTTGGAGCGCTCCCGGGGCCATCTTAGAGGCCTCTCTTGGGCCTCTCTTGGAGCCCTCTTGGGCCACCTTGGAACCATGTTGAGGTTTCGGAAGACCATGGGAAGCGAAACGGAGAGACCGCAACAACAGTGATTGTCCTTTGGTTTTGTAGAAATTGGGCCGCTTGGCGGCCCTCTGGGGAGGCTCCGCTGGGGTTGTCTTCGAGCGGTCTCTGGGCCTCTTGGAGCATTTCGGGGGCTTTCTTCAGGCAGGGGCTATATTGAGTTATATTGGGCCATCGTGAAGGTCACCTTGGGTTATCTGAGGCCCGTTTGGAAGAAACCATACCCCCTAACACCTCGCGGGGCGCCCCCTCCAGGTCCAAGGGAGGGGGCACGGGGAGGGGTCAAGACCCCCTCCCCGCCCGCAAGCCGTCTCGCTCACTCCCACCCGCCCTCCCGACACATACGTAGCACCCGAATTTGGCCCGAACCTCAGCATATTCAGCAGTCGTTTTTGGATGGGCAGCTACTGGGGGACAATCCGCCGCCGCCGCCGCCGCCGCCGCCGCCGCCGCCGCCGCTGCTGCCGCCGCCGCCGCCGCCGCTGACCGCCGCCGCCGCCGCCGCGCCGCCGCCGCCGCCGCCGCCGCCGCTGCCGGCGCCGCCGCCGCCGCCGCCGCGCGCCGCGCCGCCGCCGCCGCCGCCCCGCCGCTGTCAAACGCCGCCGCCTGCCGCCACCGCGCCGCCCCCGCCGCCGCGCGCGCCGCAGCCGCCGCCGCCCCGCCGCCGCCGCAGCCGCCGCCGCCGCCGCAGCCGCCGCAGCCGCCGCCACCGCCGCCGCAGCCGCCGCAGCCGCCACCGCCGCCAAGTGTACTCCGTATTGTTTTTGGACACGGATGGTGGTGGGGGCCGCATCGGGTTGGCTGCGCATGTTCCGAATTTCGAGGAAGAGTGTGTTGCGCATTGTGTTTTTGCAAGGGATGGTGGTGGGGGGGTGTCGTCATGGACCCTGTTTGGCCCCCAGTCGCCTGGGGGAGGGGGTGTTTATTAATAGGGTACAGTGATCCAGACACCCTCTAGATATCAAGTCGTCTAGCCCACTCCTACCCGCCCTCCCAGCACATGAGTAACACCCGAGCCTGATCATGTTCAGCGGTCGGCTTGGATGGACAGTTACCCGACTGAATGTGCGCGACGTTTGGGCGAGGTGCGCCACGAGTGCCAGGCGCGCCGCGCGCGCCAGGCACCCCTGGGGCCCGAGCGTGCCAGGCACGCTTGGTGCGCCAGATGCGCCACGTGCGCCGCGTGCTCTTAGGTGCGCCGTGTACTCCAGCCGCGCCAAGTGCGCCACGTTCGGGGCACGTGCATTGTGTGTCAGGTTCGCCTGCGCACGTGGCAACACACATCGGGAAACATGCCGGCCCCCACCATCCTTGTCGAAAGCCAAGGTCCATCATTGTGTTTGGTGGGCCTCCGCGAAGCAGGCCATGCTCCACCACCCCCGCCGTCCCTGTCAAAAAACCATGTGACAATGATCGCGGGGGGAGCGCGCACTATCCATATTTAGCCGCGAGGTGCATATCGTATTGTTTGTTTTTACGGATGGTGGCCCTGCGCACAGCAGGCAATATGCTGGCATCCCCGCCGTCCCTGCCAAAAACAATACAAAGCGCTCGCGGGCCTCACCAACATGACCCAAGATTTTGCCACAGAGTCTACTTTGTATTGTTTTTGGACAGGGAGGCGGGGGAGCGCATCGGGCTGGCCGCGCATGCAATGTGGAGGCATGGTGGGGGTGAACATGGTTCCTGGTTGGCCGCCGGTCGCCTGGGGGAGGGGGTGTATATGAATAGGGAACAGTGATAAACCCCTCCCCGAAGGGGAAGACCGGGGGTGGACAAGAAAGCCCTCTAGACCACACGCCCATAGGGCTGGTGGGTCTAGTCACTGTTACATCGGCTTTGTCATGGGCTCAATTTGGGATTCGCGAGATGATAACCGTTCCCACACATGTGCGACCCCCAGCTTTCTTCGGGTGCCTTGTCGGGCCATGGGCGCCGCTCGCCCCCCCGGGGCGCGACAACTCGTACCCATGCCTGTAGCTCAAGGCCTCTTAGATGGGGTCCGAGGATCGGGGCCAGATTTTCTCCACACCAGCGTCGCCGATGCGTCGCCGACGTCGGCGATGCATCGCCGATGCATTGGCGATGCGGCGCGATCCTCCGACCACATCTACTCGGACTACATCTAGGAGGCCTCCAGTAGCGCATTCATCGCCATGCCCTTCCCTCTTGCTCCTCCCTCCAGGTTTTAGCTTGTTTAGCTCTTCCATCAGTTCTCACACGAAGACCTCCCAGGAGCTGCCATCTGAGTCTCTCCCCGCGCACAGGCCCGACTGCTCGGAGCAGCCCTGGCGGATGGCGGCGAGCGGCTGGAGGGCGTCGTCACGGCCAGCACCCCGCCTTCTGTGCCCCCGCCTTCCTGCTCGTGCCTCGCTCGCGGGTGCACGTTTGGGGCAGGGCTCGACCCAAGCCGTGTGCTAGCGATTTCGTGGGCCGTTCTCATTTCGATCTCCGTTTGCAGCAAAGGCGGCTGGAAGACAAATCCAGGGCGAACGAGCACACGACAAATGCAAACGACACATATTGTTTAGGTCGGTCCCTGGTTTGGGGCCTCGCGACGCGGACGGGGAGGCTCCATCTCAACTCGCTGGCACTGGGGATCTCCGTGAGGCAGGCGCGGCGAGCAGCCCCCACGGAGACCTTCGGGGGCTGCTCTGCGCCTCGCCCTACCGAGTGCGCACTGTCCTCCCCGCTTGTCCTCCACGCCGTTTTGCATTGCGTCGTTCTCCCAAGCTTCGGGGGAAGGCGGGGCGATGTGGCTCGCCGTCACGTAGCCCACACCACACACTTGGCCTGCCCCGCGCGAAGCCTGGCCCGAAGCACGACAAGCACCAGGCACCTCGCGGGGATGCGTAAGCCAAGTCGCGTCCAAGCCGTGCGAGACCAGACAAAACGAAAGGACGTCTCGGGCAAAGCCGTGACCAAACCAGGCCCAGCAAGGCAAATCGTAAAGAAGTATCAGGCATCGCCGCGCCAAAATCAGGCCAACGGGCACCCTTGCGGCAGATGGCCCTGGACAGCTTTGCACAGTCGCGATCGGGGCCACGATGAGGGTTCACAATGAAGGACCACGATTGGGGGGGATCAGGATAGGCATAGGGGTAGTGAGTAGGAGCAGGGGTAGGGATCAAGTTCCCAGCGAGAAAGTCGCAAGCTGTCTTGCTCACTCCTACCCGCCGTCTCAGCACTAAATAACGTCCGAGTCTCAGCATAGGCAGGGGTCGCCATCGACAACCGTCAGGAACACATGCAGACGCCATGTGCGCGAATCCCGCGAGTTGCACCGCACATGCCCGGTGCGCCACGCGCACCAGGTCCGTCACACAGAGCCAGTTGTCGATACCCCCACCCGCCCCTGTCAAAAACCGACGCTCAGTGACGGCGGGATGGCGAGCATTGTGTATTACGCATCTGTTTTTGACATTTGTTTTTGACAGGGATGTTTTTGACACTTGTTTTTGACAGGGATGTCTTTGACACTTGTTCTTGACAGGGATGTTTTTGATACTTTTTTGACAGGGATGCACTGGTTCTGACAATCTGTTTTTGACACCTGTTTTTAACACCCGTTTGTGACACTTTTTGTTAACATGCGTTCGGCGGGGACGGTGGGCCTGCACGGTGTTGGCAGTATGCCGCCCCCCCCCCTCCCCCGCCGGGCCTGGCAGAGTGGACCTGTTCCATGTCCTGTTGGCAGGGAGGTGCGGCCTGCACACGGTGAGCAGTGTGCCGGCCCCGCCGCCGTCTTGGCCAAAATCAGGAGGGGAAAAAACACGCAGACAAAAGTAACCGTCGATTCCGCAGGAAAAATATATGAAAATATGGGATGTCGGGGGGAAGACGAACGTCCAAAACATATGGAAGCAGATTGGGAATATTGTTATTTGTGTGTGTATTTATTTTGGTGTCCCAGGGCTCCTTTACAAAAATTGATACGATGTGATCGCGTGGCGTGAGGATCTTGATCCAGGCTTTTGTTGCAACGTGTACTTCGTTTTTCTTTTTTTTGTTACCAGGGATGGTGGGAGCGTCGGCATTACACACGCAGCAGGCAAAATGAAGCTGACGCCCCCCCACACAGTCCCTGACGAAGACGAATGCAAAGTGATCGCGGGGCGTCCGCGAATGATCCATAATTTGTGTGCAGAGTGTGTTTCGCATTCTTTTTGGCAAGGGGTGGTTGGGTGCGCTGTCATTGCACAGTCGCGGGCACCATGCCAGCCGCGGTGCATCCGCGCATGATCAACAAGTTGGTGCAGCGTGCATGTTGATTTTTTCCCCTGCTAGGGGTGGTGTGCGTTGGCGTTGCACACATCAGGCAATATGCCAGTCCCTCCCCCGTCCCCTTCAAGAACCCATGCAAAGTGATCGCGGGCCGTCCGCGCATGATCCAGATGGTGGTGCAAAGTGCATGTTGTATTATGCTGTTGGCATTTGCCCAGGTTCGTCGTCTGTCGGGTGGGAGACGGGGTGTATTGTCAAAAGGTTCCGTGGTATAGGGCTAGTGATAAGAGGATCTAAAGATATATGGGGATGGGATTGGGATGGGGATGGAGAAATGGGTCGCAATCTTTACGTACAGTAGAGATACGGGTAAAGTGGATGATAGTGTTAGGGGTAGAGAAATAGGGATAGAGTGTTAGGGAGAGGGATAGGGTTAGGGATAGGGACGGCAATGGGAGGCTCTGGGAGGCAACGGAAGGCAACGGGAAGCCATGACAGTTAACAGGAGGCAAGGGGAGGCCATGGGAGAGACAGGGAACCAAGGACATCGCGAGGACGTACCAGGCGAAACTGCGCCCAAACCAAGCAAAACCGGTCAAATTGAAAATAGGCGATGCCAGCGGGCTCCGCCACACAGTTTGTTAGCCGAAGCGTCTGCGGCGATCTGTTATCGTTCAGCGTCGTGATTCGAGGGGCTGCTATATATTATTGCGCATGATCTCTCGTTTCAAATATCCAGGGTCTTGTGGGTGGTGGTATACATGTAAATGTTTGGGCTCGTGCTTCCTTTCTGGGTCACGGCGCGCTTCCATCTGCGAGTCAGCATGTACACCACCAGGCACATGCATTCACGCAGTGCGGGATCGACAATGAGTTCGCCAAATCCCATCGAAGCAGGAAAGGTGTATCTGTATTCCACGGTGGGACGCAAGGGGGCAGGTGTTGCGGAGTTGCAGAAAAGAGGGAAGACCAGGAGGAGGAGCATCAGCATCAGCCTCCTCATCCTGCTCCTGCTCCCTCCTCCTCCCCACTCCCCCCTCGACATCTGCGCTTCTGGTCTCCCGTCCTCCCTGCCGCTTCGTCGTCGTCCTTCTCCTCTCCGTTGACCCTCTCCCCACCGTGGAGCAGGAGAGAACGAGGAGGACGTGCTCGACCACGGGGAGCGCCCCCACTGAGAGACGAGCGTTCCGTGGGCCTGCCGTTCGTGCGGGCGCCCCGTCTCGGGCCGGGTCCACACCCCATCCTTGCCTGCAAGAGGAGTCCGGCGACGGGCCCCGCCGGGAAGAAGGATCCGCCCTCCGTCCATGCAATTGTTGCACATCCCCCTTTCCGAAACGCGTCGCGCAGCCCCGCGACCCCATCCAGGAACGACGCCTGCGACAACGGCGACGAGAAGGAGGACGAGGAGGAGGACGAAGCTGAGAAAGAGGTCGAGGAGGAGCACGACCATGAGGAGGACCAGGAGGACGCATATAGATGAGAAGGACGAGGAGAAAGAGGACGAAGACGACACTTGCAGACACCTGAGGTGTTGCTCGAGGCCCTCGTGTAGTTCGTTTCTGGGACCTCTTAGGGCCCTCGTCGTGCCCTCTTGAAGCTATTTTGAAGAGCGCGTACTGGGGTGTTGCTGGAGAATATAGGGGGTATCCCTGGAGCCCTGGAGGGCCCATTGGGGCCATCTTGCAAGGCGCCGATCAGAGCAGGGGGGTCCTCGATTTCCCTCCCGGCCCCCGATGGGGCCGTCAACATCGCGTGTTGGGGCCCTTTGGGTGCGCTCGCGGGGCCGTTTCGGGGGCATCTTGAGCCCTTTCTTTGGGCTCTTGGGTCATCCTGAGGCCTCAGAAGCCCATCGGGAGCGAAGAAGGCGAGACGGCAATCCCGTGTTCAAAGATTTGGGGCTCTTCGGCGGCTCCAAGAGCACCTGGAACCACCTTGTTGCTATCCTGGGGCTTCTTGAAGGCATGGTGGGGGCCATTTTGGATCCTCGGCAATTGAGCTTTTCGGGGGGCATTCTTGGAGCGTCGAGGACCCCCTTGGAGCCATCTTGGACCAGCAAGGACCCTCTGACACCGGGGGGGGGCAAACAACCTTACTGAGACAGGGGGTGTAACCCTCCCCGACGGGAAAAGGAAAGAAAAGTATCATTATCCCACATGCTCCCAGAAATTTGTTGGGATTCCCCATGGCGCCCAGACCTTGTCGGCCGAAAAGGGTCGCGACCCAACAAAGTTTGCGACCACAGTCAAGCTCGACATTATGACCGATATCGCAGTGCGAGTAAAATCGCGTCCGAGATAGAACACTGTATTGGTTTCGCACAGGGCGCTTCGGTCATGGAGCACGTTCGGAAACAAATTCGGCGCCAGTTTCGGTCACATTCGGGCACCGTTTCGGGCACAATTTTTCGGCCTCGACACCCCTTTTTTGATAGGGGGCGAGGCTACGTGAAGCTCCCGGCAGCAACAGGTAATCACGTTTCAGACGATATCCCATTTTGTAAAGGACCGCCGTCCACCCCTGCGATTGCAAGTAGCGTTTAAGACGAGCGCGGTCGACGCGAAGGCGGGAACCACATTTTGTACACAATCCGCCCTCCGTCTATGCAGCTACTGAACAAAACAAGCTTCAATCCATCAAGGTATGAGGGAATCTCGAGTGACATGTCCTGCCCGCCCTACCGACTCGCCAGGTGGTGCGGTTGGGAGGGATGCTTCTAAAGGAGGAAGGATGGAGGAGGAGGAAGGGGACGATGAGGAGCAGGAAAAGGAGGCTTCACCAGCCGAAACCCAAGGGTCATCAACGATGTTGGAGTAAACCTTTCCTCCAAGCTCCCTCTTCATAGGCCCCTACAGCTGTTCATTCCTTCATTCCCACTGAGGGAACGGCTTCGTTGGAAAACAACCGCTTGAAGACCTTGAAGCATGCCAAAGCAATGTTCTCGGGATTCCAACGCCACGGACAAACCTGACTGTTGCGGCCTGACGACTTTGAGCCGTGCCATAACACCACTCCTGAGACTACAGCACAGCGAACCAAAGTACTTGTCAAACCTTCAAAGTCCTTAGTTTTCTATAAACACAAATGTTGGCACGCAAACTTTGTATTGCTTTACAACGAGTGTGCGCGGCGCCAAGGCGAGAATCACATGTTGAAAAGGAACGGCTTCGAACCCGTGGAACTTGCAACGTTTGAAAATGGATGCGCGCGGCGCGAAGGCCAGAGCCACATTTTGAACACCACCCGCCCGCGATCAGTGAAACCCTTGCCAATGTTTAAAACGAGTGCGCGCGGGGCCAAGGCGAGAGCCACAGTTTGAACAGGCGCCGCCCTCAATCAGTGAAGCTCTTGCAACTGTTAAAAACGAGTGTGCGCGGCGCTAAGGCGAGAGCCACGTTTCGAAAAGGAACCGCCTCAATCCGTGAAGCTGTTGCAACGTTTGAAAACAAATGCGCGCGGCTATACACCGAGAGCAGAAAAACTACCCGCCTTCAATCCGCCAAATTGCTGCACATGTTTAAAACGAATGCACGCGGCGCTAGGGCGAGAACCACATTTTGAAAACCACCCGCCCTCCATGTGTGAAAGTGCTGTCGCTTTCAAGCTTCAGGGTCATACGTGGTGAGGAATTCTCGGGCGAAGCGCCCAGCCCGCCCTAAAAATTGGCCTCGGGGTGCGACAGGAAAAAAGGTTACAGATAAGGAAAAGAAATGGAGGACGAGGTCCCCGAAGGGAAGTCATCCTGTGGAGGTTTCGGTGGTTTTCGGAGGTTTCCGAATGCCTCCTGGGGTCCACAATGGCCAACACCGAGGAGGAGAAGGAGGGCGAGCATGAGAAGGGGAAGAGAAGCATGAGGAGGATGAGGAGGAGACGTTTGATCAGGAGGAGGAGGAGGAGGAGGAGGAGGAGGAGGAGGAGGACAATCATGAGGAGGATCAATCGGAGGAGAAGGAAGAGGAGGACGACGACAAGGACTCGGAGAAACAGGGGGTGCAACAGCACGAGTAAAGAGTAGCAACGGGATTTGAAGTACGAGGAGGGTGTGACGCAGAGGGGCGGGAAGTATGATGGTTATGAAGAGGAAGACAGGGGGAGGGGCGAGGAGAGAGGGGCGAGGGGCGATAATCGAGAAGGAGGGTCGAGCATCGAAAGTGGAGCCCAGCGCCACACCCCCGAGTTCAGCCCGCGCGCCCGCACAGGCCTGGAGGCCGGACGGCTTCGGCTTCGTGCAGGCGCTGAAGTGAAGAAGGAAGAGGAGAATGGGAAGGATGATGACACACATTTCGATGTTTTTCCCCCACGGCGGCCTCCAGAGGCCGTTTTCGGTCATTGGGGAGGGGGGTCGAGGCTTCTGGGGCCCGCGAGTCGGACAAGTCACATCGTCGGATGCTTGGGAGGGAGGGTGGGGGAGTACAGTGAAGAAGAGCAGGCGGCGGCGGGTGGGAGGAGGCGGCCGGAGGGAAAGGGACGAGGACGGGGACGAGGGAGGGAGACGACAGAGGGAGGGATGCGGCCAGGGAGAAGGGGGAAAGGGAAGAGCAAATGGATAAGGAGGAGGAACAGAGATGAGGGGGAGGAGGTGATGGTGTCTTGATGTAGGAAGCCAGTTGCTGTTCAAATGCTGGCGTGTATATTCAGTATCTACAAATGTCTCGCGGCGGTGCAGGGCACTTGCATACTCCTTTCCTGCCCGCTCAATTGACAAGGATGCCCGCCCTCATTGCCGTTGCCCTGCTAAGTTTACATGGTCGCGGAGCGAGGTCATGACAGCGAAACCAGGAGTCGGAACGATCACGGCATGGCACGAATCGGTCGGGTACAAATTTGCCAGCTGCTGCGTCATCTGCATAAAAGCTAACAAAAACGGCGTCTACGAGTTTTCCAGCGCGGCACTTCAGGCCAATCGCGACGCAGTCACGAGTACTTGGGCGATCAAGAGCGCACAGGTAGCCAAGATTTACCAAATGAACTCGCAGCGCCATTGCTGGATATCTGTTGGTATCTCGAGCGCAGCACTGCTGAGCATAGCGAACCGCGAAAGCAAGCAAGACACACCAACGACAAATTTGAGGTCGGGGGTGGTCTTGTTGGGGGAGAAACCGAAAACAGTCCGATCACGAACGCGACGGTCGCGAATTTAGCCGAAGGCGTTAGGCCGAACAAGGAGAACATGCTCCACATACCCATAAACGGGTCCAAAACCGTCCCTAGCCCTTGAACAATTTCACCGGAAACAGGGCAACGATCCACGAGTGGAATGAGCGAATGCTCCATGCAGTGGCGGAGGTCAACAACGGCAACCGCCACGCGCTCAGAGCATTACATTCAAACCTCGAAAACATGTGAAACGCTTCCAGGTCACAGCGGCAGGGGGAGATACACGAATAATGTTGCACGGCGGATGACGGTGGCGGAGTATGACAGGGCGAGGTTAGAAAAAAACTAATAGAACACAGGGGCGAGGACGACTTCTTCAATTTGGATGAGGACCACTTGTGCATGTTGCAGAGAAGCTGGGGAGGACCGGGGTGCGAGGCGCACTGCACGGCCTAGGCTAGGGTGAAGGACTCATCGCGCACGCGCAAGATTACAAACACGTGGTATTTGGCGGCAACCGGGGTTAACCTTGTTAGCCCCAGTGAGCTCGGCCATAAACCTCTTATTTCGAAAGTCAGTATTACTACAACCATGCGCTACGATTGCGATTTGTCAGCCGATCAGTAATCAAGCTGAGCTTATAACCATGGTTTGTGCGAATTACACGGGAAAGTATACCATCGTTGCTGCTACTACGGGTTCTACGAGTACTACGCAGACGTAGTTCTGTGATATCGCATACTCTCATTGCAACTAACACTATTACTGCGACTGCTACATCGGTTATTTCTACAATGCGATTGCTTGAATTGACACTATTCGCATTGTTCCTACCACTTTTTCTATTTGCGCGAGTGCTGTTTGTCGTCTGCACCAGTCGTCGTTGCCTCCGCGTGTTGTCGTTGTCGTCGCGGCTGCTCGTCGTCGTCGTCGCCATCGTCGTCTTGCCTGGTTGTAGTTGCCGTTTTTGTCGTTGTCGTTGCCGAAGGTGGTCGTCGTCGTCGGAGTTTGCGCCGTCGCTCCAACCGCTGCCAGTATTGTTGCTACTGTCGCTCTAGCTGGAACCATGCTCGCGCCCGCCATGTCACCGTTGCCACCGCAAGGGGGGCCGGGCCCCCCCCCCGCGGACGTTCTTATTCGCGTAGCGCGCATGCGCATGCCCCCCCCGAGCCCAGCCGAGGGCCCGTGGCCCCCGGGCCCCGTGTGCTCGCGAGGCCTTGAGCGCGCGCGCTCGCTGCAGCCATCTCGACTCGAGAACTCCGGTGCTCGCGACCGCCCGCAGCGACGCGACAGTCGAGTCGACGCGTCGCACCAGCGGTGCAGCGCGCCGCCTGCCCATCCAAGCATTGGTTGCGTTTTGTTTTCGAATTCGGGGCTGACGTGCGATCCGTGCAAGGAACTCAGCGCGCGTGCGTTGCGTTGCGCGCCGAGAACGAACGGCTCTCGCCTTGCGCGTCGCGCGCGATATTGCGAATGTGGGCGCCGATCGACGTTGGCCAGATATGCGCGCGCGTTTCGAGCGGGCGGGCCGCATGGGCCGCAGGGCCGCACTTCCGCATGGGCCGCAGGCCGTTGACCGGTCTGACCCCGCGAGCAGCCAGGCGACGCACGCACGCGTCGTTGAAGCGTCTGCGGAGAAGCCCCCCGCGTCGGTGCGCCGCGGCGGTCGGGCCCTGCCGGAGTTGAACCTGCTGGGCAGGCTCGCGTTTGACAGGGCGCGTCGCGCGGTGGCCAGCCGTTGCCCGGCCCGTCGGGGGCGCCGGCCACTTGGCCAGGTACTGCGCGCAGGAGGCGCCCAACAATTTCGCGGTCTGCCCGCGCAGCCACTGCGTTGCGACGGCGAACATCGCTGGCGTCGGCCCCCGCGAGACCGCGGCCCAGAGAGGGGGCGGGGTGCCCGCGGGAAGAAGAAGAAGAAGAAGAAGCAGAGGGGGGGGGGGGGAAGGAAAAAAAAAAAAAAAAAAAAAAAAAAAAAAAAAAAAAACGAAGCAGCCGCCCCTGCCGAACAGGGCTGCGAGGTCTTCGACGAGCGCGCCCTTCGGTTAGAGAGTCGGCGCCGGCGGCGCAGCTCCTGGGTCGCGGGCCCACGCCGAGACAGGTTGCCCCAGCGGTCGCCAAGGACTATGTGGGCGCTCTGGAGCTTTGCAACGGGGACGTCAAGACACTGGGCACGTCGGGCTTTGCGAGGGAGCCGCATTGCGCTCGGGGCGGCGCTCCGGGTGGAATGACTGACTGCGGCGCGCGCCCCTCTTCTCCCGCGCCCGCGGGGCCTGGCCCCCCTCGCCCCGCCCCCGGGAGCTGCCACTTGCGCCAATGCCGCCGCTGCCGCCAGGTCCCGCGGGGCCCCGCGGAGCGGCGCCTTGCGCGGGCCCACGGAGACCCCGCTTCCATGGGCGCCGCCGATTGCGCGGCTGTCCGCGCCTGCCCCCTGGGGGTCAACCGGACTGGCGCCCCGCGCGTGTTCAGATCTGACTTCGCCCCCCCGGGCGTTGACAGCTGCCCATCTCCTGCCACTTCCGGGAGTTCCCTGAAGGTCCAGTGGCCCCCCCGCGCGCCGACCGTTGCAAGTGCGGCGACGGATTCTCTTTTGGTGTGGTGCGGCACTGGTCGCGCGGCCGTCGAGGATGAAAATGCCGCGCAAGGGCGACGGCGCGCGCGCGTCGCCGGGTAGAGGGGCGTTGCGCGGCGAGGCTGTGACTTGCAGCCCAGTGGCCGCAGTCAATCATGTTGAGGTGGGCAGCTTGTGGCAGTGGCGCAGCACATTGGGCGGAAGCGGTCGCTCGCGCTGTCCATGGGCGCATTCGGAATTCATCGGAAGCCCGCGGGCGCCCTGAATTTTCTCTGGGAGGTCTCGGGATTTGTCAAGGGGGGCATATTGGGGCACATATTTGGCTGTTTGGGATGCCATCTCGAGTTCTGCTTGGAGCAGTCTCGGAGCCACTTTTGCTCCAGACGCCCTTCAAGAATGCCCCCAGGGCGCTCAAGTATTCGAACGCGCTTGTTGCAGGCATTGGGTCTGGCTTTTAGCCCAGGAGGGGGTTGCAGTTCGGGCCGCCCCTGTCGAGCCGAAGGGTCGCATCTTGGGGCCCCCGTGCGGGGCGCCTCTAGCGCCGTTCTGAAGCCTCTTGGGCCCCGCTTGGAGCTCTCTGGGGCGACGCGACGGCCATCCCGGGGCCTCGGGCGCCCCCTGGCAGTGAAAATGAGAGGGTGGAAAATGCTGGGCTGGAAGCCACGCTGCGTCATCGTGGCCCATCCTGGAGGCAGTTGGCTCCGCTGGGCCATCCTGGGGCCATCCCGGGGCCACCCTCGGCGCACTACTTGGTCGCGGGGGGCGGCCGCCCGGACCCGGGGGGGGCGGGTGGTGGCGGTTGTCAACACACACACACACACACACAAACACACACGCACACACACACACACACACACACACACACACACACACACACACACACACACACACACACACGCGCCCCACCCGCCTTCTCAACGCATCAGTAGCACCCGAGCCGCGGCGCGTTCAGCGGCAGTCTCGGCATGGACAGCCAATGGGAACCAAAACAGGCCCCGCGCGCGCAACGCGGGGGCGAGCTGCGCCGCGCCGCGCGCGCCTCGCGCGCCTCGCGCGCCAGGCGCCCCTCCGGCCCAAGCATGCCGGGGCGCCTGGTGGGCCAGATGCGCCGCGTGATCCACGCGTACCACGTGTGCCGCATGCTCCGGCCGCGCCAGGTGCGCACCTCTCAGGGCACGCGCAGAGCGCGCCGATGCACGCGGCAGTGCACATGGGGAAACGCGTCGGCCCTCACAACCACTGTCGAAAAAAACAATGCGCAATCGCGGCGGGGCCGCCATCATAGCGTCTGGTTGGCCTGCACATAGCGGGCAATATGCCCGCCACGCGCGCCGCCCCAGTCAAAAGCGAACAGGCAGTGATCGCAGGGTGCCCGCGCATGATCCGAATCTAGCTTCGAAGTGCATGTCGTATTGCGTTTGACTGGGATGCTGGCCCTGCGCGCCACAGGCAATGCGCGGCCCCCCCATCCATGTCAACAAGCAATACAAGGTGCTCGCGCACATTCCCGATCATGACCCAGCCCCAGAGTGGACTTCACATCGTTACAATCTGCCGTTCAGGCCGACATCGCTCTGTTGCTGTCAGCTATGGGGTCAAACAGTTCTTGAAGCAGCACGACGTTGGATGCAGTTCTGCACGCCTGAGTAGGCATGAGTTGCCCGAGAGAACTTGCAACGGAGACTGTGACGATTGCTGCGCCTGTCCGACTGGGCCCGCGAGACGGCGATTTCCGCGGTTGACAAGGTGGTTTCGCTCTTTAGTTGCATCCTTTTTGAGGAATTCAGCGCGCCACCGCCTTCACTTTTCGAGCTTTCTGCAAAGCGCAGACCCCGTGACGGGGCTGAGCTTGCCAAGGGGGAAGAGAAGGTCTCGCGCCTCGGAACCTTCGAGCGTGGTTGACGGAGTAGACGATGAGGAAGTGGCTACAGTCATCCGTGCACACATCAGGGACGAGAAGCCGCCTGAATGTTATATGCGATTTGTGCGTTATGCTCGTGAGTGCGCAGAAACTGGTGTGTTTCCCAAGCCTGTTGGTGGTGCTTTCGCAGCTGCTGCTTCGCCGCCGCCCGCCGTCTCTTCATCTTCTTCACGCCAGGTGCGCGCTCCGCAGGATGACGACAACGCGCCGAAGAAGAAGGTTTGCATGGGCAACGCCAGCAAGTTACCGGGTCTGCCACCGGGCACACCTGTACCACCAGGCACGCTCGATCGCCCACCTGGGATGCTTCCTATGACCCCGCCACCCGGGCGCAAGCCCGCTGTTCTCGCGCCGAGGCTGTCGGATGAGCCGTCTCCTGCACATATTCGCAAGGCTCCTCGGCCGCCTCCGCCGCCGGGGCCGCCGCGCAGGGTAGAGCCGCTGCCGCCGCCACCACCGCCTCCGGCGGGCACTGCCAACTCCAGCAGCGACGACGAACCGATCAATACTCGCGCGTCTCGTTCAGGAACCCCGGCTTTTCCTGTCGAGAGGAACCTGGACAGGGTGGATGGTGGTCGGGCCGGAGATCCAGTCGTGAATTTCGAGCCGTTTGCAGTCGTGCTGCTCAGTTGGGTTCGCGTTGTCGAGCACGGCAAGAAGAGGAACTTCATGGCGTGACGTACATCGATCCTTTGCACTTCCCATCAGAAGGGGTCGAAGGGCCGCACGGAAGAGAAGGACGCTGGAAAACCAGCGCGCGCGAATGGCAATATTGACCCGTGCAACACTCAGATCGAGTTCCCGCCAGCATGGAGAAGAGTTCTATGGGTCGCTCCAGGGGTGCCCAGTCCTGGAAGCGCATAGAATATCGCGTGGGCATGAGTGCTTCTTTGGATGCTGAGGAGCTCGATCGTAACAATCTTCGTACAGCCTACGAGGATTCGCGTCGACGGAACATCGTACTTGCGCACGCCAAGGCAGCTGGATCAGCATGGGGTGACGACCGTGAATGCTAAGAGCCGTGCCAAATATTGGTCTGGGTTGCGCGACACCAGCGTGGCTTCCATCCGCATGTTGCCGAGCTGTCCGCACCGGGCATGTCTGCATCCGACAAGGAGATCGTCGAGAAAGTGACCAGGAACACCGATCCGCTTCGCGGACGAGCGGGGGCCAATTTGGCCGGGGCGTTGCTCTACGTCATCGGCATCAGTTTCGCCTGCCCACTCTCGAGCGACACGGTGGTGCGGTCAGATTGGGAGTTTTCGGTAGCAACAGGCATCGTCGAGCGCAATCCTGATCTCATTGTCGCCGACACATCATCATCAAATCACAGTTTGAATATTGATTGTGTCTCTGGGTAGGCTTCAGATAGTGGTCCTGTAACCGTTGCGCATGGTCATGAGCCTGATTGCTCAAACCTCGCGGTTAATAGTGCGCTAAACTCGTACCTCGAGTCCGACGGTGAGATCGCGAGTTAGAAATTCCTTGAGCTCCTCAGCGAGTTAGGTCAAACAGTTACTTACAGCCTCCCCTGCTGAAGCCGCAGAGGAGAGAGTTCCAGACGATATGGGCGCGATCATCGGTGATGCCGACGTCTCTACTGCACCTCAGGAACGCCTGCGGGATGAGGGATAATATGCGTTGGAACAAATCAACCGACCTGGAGTGCCGAAGCATGAAGGGAAGAGAAGGAAAGTATGGTTGATACTTGTTCTCCGCGCAAGGATCGCCATCAGGCGACTTCACAGACAGTTTGGTCATGTGCCTAATCGTGTTCTTGTGCAGGTGGTAAGAATCTCCAGGATGTCATCGGATTACATTGAAGCCGCCAAGAACTATCGATGTGAATATTGCGAACACCACAAGACGTTAGCTCAGACTCACAAGGCTGCCAGACTTAAGAAGTTCGTCTTCAATCACGACATCGGCATCGACTGTCCAGAGGTAAAAGACAACAGCGGGAAACGTTCAATTTCTTGAATGTAGTGTGCCAGGGTGCAACATCCCAGCGCGTGGTCTTTGCGCGACAGGGAGGTGGCACGCCGTCTTCGAGAGCATGTCTCACTGCACTTCAGCAACGCTGGTGCGCATGGGCAGGTAAGCCCAAAATAGTGGTGGCACGACAAAAACGTTGCCGGTCTCGGCGAAGTCATCCTTACCGCGTTGGAAGTCGACAGCAGGAAGAATGAGATGTCACGAGTCGGTGGATTTGCGCCTGCTCAGTGGGTACTCAGAAAGATGCCTCGTGTTCCAGGGAGTCAATTCGGCGACGAGGAAGCCTTCGACTTAGGAGTGCTTGCGAATGTTGCAGAGGACGGAGCCAGCCGACGAGTTCTCTCGCCAGGCTGGCGATCCGGGCGTCTGCCATAAAGTATTCGCAGCACGCGACTGCGGGAGTTGGACGGCAAGAGCCGCTTTCCGAAAGGCAGCGCCTCTAGCTCGTGAGTATCTGGTAGGTGATGTTGTATCCGACTGACGGCGACGTTGCCGCTAAGTGGAGCATTGGTTCTCGTATCGTTGGATTCGATGGTAAAACGCGCATGGGTTATCACAGGGGGTGCACGAGTCTGAGTGGCGGTCGACGAGCTTCGACCGTGTACAGCGGCGGAAGCATTGGCTTACCAACATCTCTCTAAGCATTATGATGGTGGTGTTGAGAGGTCTGCAACTCCAGGCGGGCAGCGGCAATCGTTCGTGGACGAGCGCCGTGATCTGCCAGAATCATGAGTGCAGGAGCACCCTGCAGAAAAACTTCCTGTGGTAACGGAAGGGCTGCTGGGGATCTCGAGATCGTCACAGGCGACTCGAATGCCTCTCCAGAGGCCGTTACTAGACGACGTCCCGCACGGCATACAGAGACGCAGCGAGGCGATGCGCCGAAGAGTCGAGAATGCCGATGGTAGTTCGGGAAGGGCTCATGATTCTGTCTCGCAATCAGCCCCCGAACTAGCGAACTGACTGTTCGAGGCCGCGCGCAGAGCTGGAACTGCAGGGCCGGGCGTGGATCTTAGCAAGTATAGAAGTTACACTAGCAGTTATGCCGCGTGAATCGACCGTCGGATTCTTTAATGCACGTTTCGTAAATATGCCGCAATCCAAGACGAAATTAAAGAGTGCAAAGAATATGGTGAACCATCGGGAAGCTGAGGACGTTGAAGGCGTCTTAAGACCCGCAAGACAAAACGAATGGGGAACGTAGCGGAAGTTCAACGACGCCGTGCCTATTGATCTTGTGGAACGGCAAAGTCTTCTCGACGAAGGATACCGCATGGTGCCTACACAATGCATTGACATTGATAACAACGAACATCTCCGTGGACCGGGTGGGCCTCTGGTTGCACCACAGTGCAAGGGCAGATTTGTCGCACGTGGAGATTTGGAAAAGTCGTCGGGCATCCGCGCGGATTTACCAGCATTCGAATTCGAAGGGTTGAGGTTGATCGTATCATGGGTTGCCGGTACAAAGAAAGTTTTCAAATGTGCCGACATTGCATCTGCGTACTTCCAGGGGCAAGAACTGGACCGTCTCATGCTGCTCAAGCCACCTCCCCACGGACTCGATGGAGCACCGGATGGTGGATCGTTGATCGCGCGCGCGCCTGTCTACGGCGCGCGCGACGAAGGGCGAGGCTCGCGGAAGGAACTTCGCATAATGTTGGAAGATCATGGTTGGAAGGAGAATCGCGGCACGCCTGCTTTGTTCAGCATCCGCAATGACAAGAACGAGGTCACGCGCATGTTGGGCAAACATGTGGATGACATTATTGTGGGCCGCAGATGACGAATGTCAGAAGATCATTGCTTCGGCATTTGCGGAGTTTGATATCCGTGAGAGCAGGTCGGACAACTTCCGCCATTGCGGTTTAGAAGTTGTTCGAGGCGAAGGTTTCACGGTGAGTATCCTGGCCAAGGGCAACATGGGGAAAATCGAAGCTGCATCCTATCCAATGGACAGCCCCTTTACGAGGAGCCGTAATGAGGGCGAAAGAAGACAGTTTAGATCGGTCGCAGGTGCTTTGTCACGGTTTACGCGCCAGAGTAATTTTGCGCCACTGTATCGCGCGAACAGACTGCAGACTGCAGTGCGCCACGCTAATGTACTTCATCTCAAGGCAGCCAACCGCGCATTGGAAGACGCAACCCAGTCCGCCGATTGCGGGTTGGTGTTCTAATACGGAGCTGCTAAGTGGAGCCAAGATATGATGGTTCTTACTGTTGCTGATGCCAGCTGGGCAGGTGAAGACGATGTAATCAAGGGCAAAATCAAGCCTCTCAACTCGCAGAGGGCTAGGTTCAATGGACGCGCTGCGCCTGGATTCATCAATGGGAACAGCGACAACGTTCACCCTGTACGTATATCTAGTAAAGTCATCAAACGAGTGTATAAGTCTACACTACAAGCAGCGACCCTGGCTTGCTTCTGGGGTTTAGAATCTGGTGCGTGCATTCGCGCCGCCATCGCAGGTGCGCGAGGCGTGCGTGGCACAGGAAGCAAGCGACCAACCATGTCTATGAGACACTTCTGGGTGACGGGTTGTAGAAGCCCCGGGGAGCATCTCACAGCACCAACTCTTGGCAAGACGGAAGATAAGTGTTTGAGTATCGGTTTGCGCAGTTCAAGGCAATAGATTGGACGAACGGCGCGGAAGAAGTCGAGACTCTGCATCCGCGCACGTTTTGTGATGAGATGCGGTGAATCGATGCAAGCATTATGGCGGTTGATTGTTTACGAGAGATATACCTACATATTTTCTTGACAAGATCTTACGTACAAGCTCGTTTGATGTGATTCCAGACCCGAAATACACTTGGAAAAAATGCCAAAGGCAATTGGCGAGGGCCTGAATGAACGCTATCTCAGCGGGGAAGCAAGTGAATTGATGCCCTGACTGCTTTTACCTGAGTAATCCCAACCTGGGGATACTCTTGTCACTGCCCCCATCGAGGCTTACGGAGACCAGCGGTACTTCGCCGCGGTCCGCCGGCTATCTCGCGACACGGTTTCACGGGCGTGAGATAGTGCATGTGTCACGTGTGTATATGCGTTTCGTTGCCGTTTGACCTCTAGGGGACCCTGTTTGCCATCGTGCTAGAACGCATCATAATCACAGGCGTTATTGATTTGATCGCACACTACGTCGTCGAACTTTCACTCGATTCAGACCGCAGTTCCTGCCAGATCGTCCTCGACCCCCTCCTCGACCACCTCCTTGCGCGTTGGGAAGAGATGGGGTTCCTTGTGCCAAGTGCGAGAGGCTTCTCGAATTGAAATAGCGTCAGTACATGCAAGCCGTAGCTAATACATCGACCCCGAATCGCCCATTAATCGACCTGAATAGCCCACCGGCCCAGGAACGAGCCGATACTCCATCTGGTGCTTATCGCCGATCTGTCGATCATGCATCGCCGATTCCAGCTCGACGTTCTCCCACCCTGAGCTGGTCCCCCCTTGAAGATCCCCCTTCGCATCCTGTGTTATCTTGGAGACCACTTTGCCCAAGAGCCCATCACGGCGAAATTGGGTTCAAATATACACCCGGAACGACAGAACAAGGCCACCATACCCCACATGGATACCCCAAAAAAACACGTAGACTCACCAAAACAAACTCATACATTCTGTTGCACACTCGCACGCACACGCACATATACACACGCGCACACACAGGTTTCCTTTGCTGGTTTGCTGGGCATATCCTTGTTGCCCTCTCGAGCGCTTTCGAACAGAAATTGCTTCACTGTTTCCAGTTCCTGCCTGGTCAGTTTCTCTCAGTGGAGTCCAGCATATCTGAATCTTTTCGTTGGGAGTGGAATGTGTCCAAGGTTCCTAGTCCTAGCGAGTGATGTGCGCGATCGATGGCAGTAACGTTCCCCGCGCTCGATCCTAGTTCCTACATGTTGTTTATGGTCGACCATCCCCCCTTGTATGGGTTTTTCTCAAGTCCTCCGCCCGAGGTTTCCGACGGACGGCGCGCTTCTGTTCACAGGCGCCCGCTTTTTCATCCGTTGCGCTCTCAGTTGCGAGCGTGCCGCAGGAGAGGGGCTGGCCAGAATCAGGGCGACAGACGAGGTCGCGGAGGATGAGGAGGACGAGGAGGACGAAATCGATGAGGAGGTGGAAGAGGAGGAGCAAGTGGTTGTGGATGGGGAGGGAGGGGGGCAAGTAGGAGCGAAATCGGCAAAGACAGTGTTGATGCCAGCGCCCGCCTCAGCCCCGGTCATCTGCTCGATTCATTGCCACCGGCTGGAGCTGTATGCTGCGTTTCGATTTCGCTTCCGAGTCGACTCGGCACGTTTCGCTTCTGGGACTCGAGGTCCCCCGGGGCCGATGGCGCGGGCGAAGACGATTGGTGGCGTGGCATCGCCCGACTCCGCTTGTGGCGCGGCGCCGACGTCTTCGGCGGACGACTGAGTTCCGACGGTCGGGCAGTGCATTCTGGCCGGACCAAACATCGGGCGGGGACAGCACGAGGATACATCCGTGCCAGAGCGTTCCGGAACGCTCAGGGCGTTCCGGAACGCTCTGAAGAGGCCGCCGCGCCGGAGACAGCCTCCAGAGCCGCCAGATTTTAGAGATGTTCGATTCATCTCCGCCCGAATTTGTCCTCGTCTTGGTTATGTTTTGAAGCACCTGGGGCTCGTGGGTCACACGGAGGGGCGGTTGGGAACGCGCCGGCGCGGACTAGAGCCGGCCGCCGCACCCATTGCTGCGAAGCGCGGGAGCGGGGCGGGCCAGGCGGGGCGAGCGAGCCATCTTGGTTCATGGTTGCAGGTCCAAGCTGGGTTTGACTGGCAGAGCTGCTTGCAGGCTACTACTTCTCTCCCCCAACCTCCAACTGTTCGACGAAAGATGAAGAAGCTAAGAAAGGAGGGAAACCCTGGGATACACCCCAAGGGGCTATTCGGACGCACCGCTATCGAGGAATGGATGCCCCCCCATCATCCATGTCAGGGTCGGGCCCCAAATTTCTGTTCCATTGTTTGTGCTGTATGTATACATGTATATATATATATATATATATATATATATATATACCGCATAGACCACCCTTCGGGTGATGAGGAGGTGAGGGGGGGGGGGGGGGGGAGGGACCAACGTCGCACTCGATTGATCTCACTATCGAACTCACTACCGATCGCACAATCGATCTCAATCGATAGATTTCACAATCGATCTGACTATCGATCTCACAATAAATCTCACAATCGATCCCACAATCGATCTCACATTCGGTATCGCTATTGATGTCACAATCGATATCACAATCGATCTCGCATTCGATATGACTACCGATCACACGATCAAACTCACTATCGATATCACTATCGATCTCACATTCGGTCTCACAATCGATCTCACTATCGATATCACAATCGATCTCACGTTCGATCTCGCATTCGGCCTCACGATCGATCTCTCTATCGAGTTCACTTTCGATATCATTATCGATCTCACATTCGGTATCACTATCGATATCACAACCGAACTCACAATCGACCCCCCATTCGGTCTCATCATCGATCTCACTATCGAAACCACTACCGATCTCATTACCGATACGAACTCAATCGATCGATATCACAATCGATATGACTATCGATCTCACAATAGATTCCACAATCGATCTCACATTCGGTATCACTATCGATATTACTATCGATCTCACAATCGATATCCCATTCGGTCTCACAACCGATCTCACTATCGATCTCACTATCGATCTCACATTCGGTACCACAATCGATCTCACAATCGTTCTCACAAGCGATCTGACATTCGATCTCACGTTCGATCTCACAATCGATATCACATTCGGTATCACTATCGATCATCAAAACAAAACATCAACATCGTCATCATCATCACCATCATCATCATACAGCGACTTGTTGGCATTTGTGGCAACTCCGCGGCCGTAATCCCTCGCTCAAGTTCTAAAGGAACGCAAGCATTCTTGGAGCGGGTCTGCGCCGACCTCACCAGTGCCCTCACCACCGCCATCATAGTTCGCGGCAGCTCGACGCACTGCCCAGATTGCGTCTGCTCTCCAGCGTTGCGCTGCCCTGCGTTGGAGTGCCGCTGCCCGACAGGCGAGGGTTCCCTGGCGTCTGTGCAGCCCACAGGCTGGTCAACTGAGTTCGTGGTCGTGCTCGTGGTGAGCTCCTTCGCATACGGCGTCGTCGTAGGCGGCTTCTTCATCAAGAGCTCTCGGGCGGCCCCCGTGGTTCAGCCTGCGCCCGCTCCAGCACCTCAGCACGAGACGGCGGGCGCTCTCGGCCTTGCGACGGCGGCCGCTGCCCAGGCGAGGAAGTTCCGCCGCTAGGAGCAAAGGCTGCACGCACCTCTGGCCAGTTCCACTACGTGCGGTACAACGTCGGGGGGGCCGCCATCGACCACGAGAGGCTCACTTTGCTGCCGGGGTACATCCTCACCCCCGACGATGACGACTACGCGGAGAGCGACCTGGCTGGTGGCGACTTGAGATCAGCGCATGACTCGGCGGGCCAGGGCGACGCGATCGTCGGAGTCGCCGCCCATAGCCTCTACAAGTTCAGACGGCTGCCGTCCGCAGCCGCCGTCTGGGCTGCCGTGCGCCGCGGCGTCGCTCAAGGCCACGGACCTCTGCCGCCGTCGCCCTTCAACCTCGAGCTCAGCGCCGACAACGTGCTGGGCGTGGCGGCGGGGGCGCTGGCCTTGCCCGACCCGCTCGGAGCGGCGCCCGCTGCTGCAGCGCCTGGCGCGCTGGCCTTGGCGGGCGCGGCCGCGCCCCCCGCGGGCGCCCCTGGGCCGCCCGCCGCGGTGGCCGCGGCGCCCGAGGGCGGAGTGGGCGCGCTGGCGGCGGCGCTCGGTGCGGGGGGGGGCGCCCTGCCTGCTGCCGCGGACCCTTTCGGCGTCGGCGGCGCCGCCGCGGCCCCCGCCGCCCCGGGCGCCGCGGGACCTGATCCCCGCGCGATGGCCACCGTGCTCGACGCTCGTGGGCTGCGGGACATGCCCTTCAGTGACGCCGCGATGCGCCAGACCGAGACCGCCCGCGCCGACTGGCCCGCGAGGGGCCCAAGGACCACGACGCGGGTGCCCCACTTCATGCTGCGCATGGCTGGCGGGGCGATGGCGCGGCACAACCGCTGGATGGCCACGACGCAGGCCCTGGAGACGGACGACACCGCCAAGCTCCACGACACGCTGCGCCGCGTCATCGAGACCTCGCTCTGCCACGACCAGCTGGTCATCTGCGAGCTGGCCTCCTACGAGTTCCTGTCGCGGCAACTGCAGTTGGTGGAGGAGCGGTTCTTCGAGGAGCGCGCGCGCAGGACTCAGCCTGCGCCCAAGGCCAAGGGCCAGGCCAAGGACGGCGCCACGTCCGCGGCCGCCGACGTCTCCTCGGAGATTGGCCACTTCCTCGGCGCGGGTGAGACGATGGGCAACCTGTGCATTTGCCCAGCCTTGATGGACTGGATCGCCGACCAGATGAAGAGCGAGGCCGCCGTTGCAAAAGAACGTCGCAAGGCTCGCGAGGAGCGGGCCTTGCGGCATCCATGACGTTCCTGAAGGACGCTGGCCAGGAGGGGCCTTACGACGCGCTACCTGCTCGTGAGCCTGGCCAGCTTGGCCCCGAGCCCTTCGAGGCCCCACCTGGCTTGGAGTCGCCCAGACGAGGTGACCGTCGCCAGCGTGACGTTTTTTCCGCTTCCTCTTCTCCCAGTGGATGGGCGTCGCCATCTCCCGCTTGGTAGGGGTGCTCGTCTGCGGGCCGCCAAAGGCGCGAGCTGGAGAGAGTGGTGCAACGAGCGGTTGGCTGATCTCAGCTGGCTCCACTGCGGCAAGGACGAGCCCTCCGTGCCTGACGACGGGGGGCCACCGCCTGCGGCCCAGGCAGCTTCAGTGGACTACATCGCGGGCCTGCACCGCGACTTCGAGCTGCCCGCCGCCTACTCGGAGAGAGGCCGCGATTGCGAAGCATCCCTCGTAGAGATGCTCGTGCAGGCACCTGGCTACGCTGGCGACAGCGGTCGCGCGCGCCCCTTCAGCACGCCACTTGTGGCCTGGCCCGAGTCGACGAAGGCAGTCTCCACCTGCGGCGTCGTCTCCGAGGCCGACTCCATCGTGCTGCAGGATTGGAGGCAGAGTATGTTGAATCCCGAGTCGGTGGCGGCGGAGCTCCGTGAATCGTTGGGGTTAGTCGCCCTTATGTGGATCCTGAGCTGCGCTTTAAGCCGAAGTCCTACGCTGAGTTTTTGAAGCAGCTGGAGGCCCACGACATGATCACCTGGCGGGTCTCCAGCGAGCAGGCACCCTTCTCTACTGGTCTTTTCTTTGTGCTGAAAGCTAACGTCAAGCTGAGGCTGGTGTTCGACACCAGGCTGGCCAACTGCAGCTTCTCGTGCCCACCGGCCACTCGCCTGCCCACGCCCAGCGCGCGGGCCAGCCTTGACTGCGACGACAGTTTTCAGTTCGCGCAGGGCGACATTCAGTGTGCTTTCTGTCACTTGCGACTGCCAGCTGGCATGGAGTCTCTGTTCTCTTTGCCACCGATAAACAACAGATTCCTCGGCCTCAAGTCGGTCAGCGGGGTTCGTCTCGGCATCAACGACTATGTCCAGCCTCTTGTCGCGGTCGTTCCCATGGGGTGGAGTTGGGCTCTACACCTGTGCCAGAGTGCGCTGACGAGAGCCCTGTCGGATGTGGGGTTCGGCAGTGACGATATGATTCTGGATGGGGGCTGTCCTCGCCCCTTGGCGGCTGAGAAGGACGCGGTGTGTGCTGGTTATGTTGACAACTTCTGCGTCGTATCCAAGTGCGCGGAGACAGCCACGTCCCTTGCTCGTGCCGTTGCTGACCTTCTCACTGCCCGCGGGTTGCCTGTCTTGGAGTTCCCCCCTGCGGTCAGTAAGGGGGTCTTCACGGGCTTGGAGATCGACGGAACCTCTGGGATCATTCGCGTTCGTCCTGACCGCCTCGCTCGCACTCGTCAAGCCGTTCTCGGACTGTTGAAGCGTGGGCGGGCCTCTGCTGGGGCCCTCAGCGTGCTCGTAGGCCACTGTGCCTGGGGGATGATCCTGAGGCGCGACGTTCTGAGCATCTTTAACGCGGTCTATCGCTTCATGGGGGCTGTGGGACCCCATCCTGGACCCTTGTGGCCCTGGGTCGCCAGGGAGTTGTCGGCTGCCGTGGCCCTCATCCCGCTCTGGAGTGCCTCTACAAGGTCTCGCTGGCATCCACGGGCGCATGCTTCTGATGCGTCGCCGTTCGGGAAGGGTGTCTGTGTCAAGGAGGTCTCCCCTACGCTGTCGTCCGAGGTCGGCCGAGTCGCCGAACGTTGGAGGCATCGTCATGGGGATGCTGTGCTTGCCAGATCACACGCCCTAGACGTCGACGGTCGAGACGATGCTGCCGACGGTTGCCGTGCCGACACATCGTCTACTGCTCCTACTGCTCCGTCGTCTGGGCTCAGTGGGTTCCACGAGGTTCCTGAGTCCATCTACGGGGCCGAGGGTTGGAAGACCATTCACTCTAGCCGTCACACCCGACGGGGCTGCGATATCCTTCAGTACGAGGCGGAGGCCCTGGGGTTCAGCGCCCATCACGCTTCGAGGGCCCTGGGTGCTCATCATCATCGCGTCGTCTGTATTGTGGACAATTTGGCTCTAGCCCTTTCGGTCGGCAAGGGGCGGTCTGGGAGCCGTCATCTTCTCCGCGCCCTGCGGCGCATCGCTGGCGTGGCCCTCGCCTGCGGCCTGCGCCCGCTCGTGCGGTGGGTGCCGTCAGAGAGGAACGTCGCGGACAAGCCGTCGAGGGAGGGCTTCTTCGTCGGCCCTAGCTTCGAGGACGTCGGGTCGCACCTCGTCTCGCGCCGCCCGCGGACCCCCCAGGGAGGTGATCAAGGCGGCGCGGGGCCAGCGGGAACATCCTGGTCCGCTGACACTCCTGCGGGGCGGACTGTCGGCGCTGGAGGCCTACGCGGTCTCGGAGCCGACGGGCAGGAACTACCGCGCCTCCACCCTCAGGTTTCAGAACTGGTGCCTCTGGACCGCCAGGGACTTCACGAACAGCGTCGAGCTCGTCGCGATACTCGCGGTGTCCTTCGTCCACCTGTTCCTCGACGCGTACGACAGTGCGACGGGCCGCGTCACGATGGCCTCTCTGAAGCACCAGTTGCCGTCGATGCTGATCGGGGGCCGCCCGCTGCCACGGGCCTTGCGGGCCCTCCAGGGCTGGGCGAAGCTCGCGCCGCCGCAGATGCGGTCCCCGCTGCCGAGGGTCGCGAGGTTCGCCATCGTGGGCGCGCTGGGGTCCCAGGGCCTTCTGTCGCAGGCGGGCCTCGTGAGGATTGCGTTCGACACATACCTGCGCCCCAACGAGGCCTACCGACTCACGGCGGCCTCCCTGGTCGTTCCGAGGTCGGGCTCCACGGACGGCCACCAGCATTGGGCGTTGCTGGTGAACGACGCGGCGAGCGGGAGGCCTGGCAAGACGGGGGTCACCGACGAGAGCGTCATCGTCGACGATCCGCTTCTCTGGCCTCTCCTCCTCGGCATGGACGCGATGGCGAGGACGGGCTTCTTCTCGCTGCCGCTGCCGCCCCTGAGGCCGCTGTCGGCGTCACCGCCGGCGCAGACGACTCCCGTGAGGACCGACGCGTGGCTCTTCGGGTGAGGCGCCTGTGGCGACGAGCGCGGGCGCATGCCACTGCAATGCCTTACCTCATCATGCTCTGCACCTGCGCCCCCGACCGTGTTCGGCGAGCGCGCGAGGCCCGCGGGCTCGGCACCGTAGCGGTGAACGTTGCTCGTCACCGCCTCGACGACCTCGCTGACCCTCAGGTCTTGAAGGCTCTGACGGGCTGGGTGCGCCTCAGCTGTGCTTGGTGTCTGGGCATCCTTGCCCTGGGGCACCTGGGCGCCAGGGGCCGCGCGTGTCCGCAAGGTTGATTCTCTTTTGCACGTAAATAGAGCCTCAGAGGCCGCCTGTCGCGCCGTGCGAGTTGCCAACGCGCTGGCAGATTCCACCTTCAAATTGATTGCTGAATGTATCTTCCGCAGAGCCCCGATCATTTTTATGCACCCTGAGTCGATCCTCATCTGGAGGCATCCCCGCTTGCCCCCTCTCCTTGCCTCGTCCCCCTCTTCCTGCTCCCTCGACTCATGCATGCATGCGGGTCGCGTGAGACAGCGAATCCACCTTGTCGGTTGGGGCGCGCGGGACCTTGAGCGCCTCGCTCGTCGTTGCCTCTGCGCCCAAGGCCTCTGTGATCGTACTCGGAGACGTCACCTGGGAGGCCTGGGGCGTCCAGCTCTTGACGCCGTAGCTCGGGCCTCTGCTAAGGGTATCCCCTCAGAAGTGGCCATTGCTGGCACTGAAATGATAGTGGCCGAAGCTCGTCATCTGTCCCGCGCCGCGAGATCTAAGAAAATTTTGGGTCAATGAGTAATTCGGCTGTTGCCACCTGGTCAGACTAGCGTGTGGTACCGAGTCTGTGCTTCACTGCTGGCGTAGCGCTCGTGGCCGCCCTCCGCCGTTCGCACAAAGATGAAACAAGTTGGCCCCGAAGCGACCACATACAGCGACTTGTCGGCATTTGTGGCAACTCCGCGGCCGTTTTCCCTCGCTCAAGTTCTACCTGGGCCCCCCCGCCCACATGAGCTTTAATGTTTATCCGAGTCTGTGCTTCACTGCTGGCGCAGCGCTCGTGGCCGCCCTCCGCCGCTCGCACAAAGATGAAACAAGTTGGCCCCGAATCGACCACATCAATATTATCACCATAATCGGGACACCGACGGGGCACCGGCGGGACACCGCGGGCCCCCGGCCGCCCGGAAGGGAGACATTTGGTCCGGCCGCACCTCAGCCACAGGAGACTTTCTCTCGCCCGCCCACGCATCTTCGCCTTGCCCGCACGGCACGCACGAACACGAAACCGAAATCGATTTCCCGGTAGGGGGGCTCTCCGTTCCATTTCGATCTCACCCCCTCACCTCCGACATATGTGTATATATATATATATGTATATATATACACATACATACATATATATATATATATATATATATATATATATAACTGTCTGTATATCTGTATATATATATGTATCCACAAACGAAGCATGGGATAGGGATCGACAGATCGCCTGCTACACGTTGGTTCGCGGCGGCAGGTCGAAGCTGGGATGGACTGGCCAAGGTGCCCCCGAGGAATGGGGGGAGCCCTGCCAGGAACGCTGGCACACTGGAAAAGGGAACGTGCCTGAGAGAAGCATCGGCCCTTCTTGGCAGGACCGACGCGACGACACGTTCGGGTCCCGAACGACGGGTGAAGATCTTCGGGATGAGCAGTTCGATGCCACCCGAACGTCGTGGAGGCACGCTGTCCCCGTGACTGGGCGACGCCGAATCTAACATGAGCCGCGACGCGCCCGTTGGGCCAGACGGTCTTCGGAGACTGTTTTGTTTCTTGCGCCAGCGGTATGATCACCAGGGGGGCCCGTAAGGTGGGCACATTCGCCGATTGTATTTAGTTCGGGGAGAGGTTCAGCCGCAGCAGCGTCGATGATGCATCCGCGGTTCCGCGACGCGCTGCGAGACGGAGATTCGCGAGCTCGAAAACACGAGGGAGGAGTCCCTGATATTTCTTCAGGAAGCTGCGGGTCGGAGGCGACAAAGCAGAATTGGATCATCGCGGGCGCGGGAAACGAGCTCGCGCGCGAGAGTGCCTGCACCCTTCGCGTCGCCACGTTGCGTACCGCAACGTAGAAATACTAGCGCCGAGTAGCGGCCCCATCGTGACCGCCTGCCGTTTGGCAAACTGTCGGTGGTTAGGCAAATCGTCGGCGATTGGCCGGGCCCGCAAAGCCCACGCCGTTGGCAGCCTTTGCGGAGGCCGATCGGGGAAAATTTTGACGGTTTCAGCCTGTCAGGCAAGGGAGAACGCAGGGACGAGGAGCAGGACTCGGAGGTCGAGGTGGCGCCGACCCAGGCATAGCCAGAGGCGAGATGATGCCCGAAGAATTCCCAACAGTTTCCCCCGACAAAATGGTTCTTTTAATCGAGCTGTCGGAGACGAGAGCAGACGCGGTGCAGGAGCGGGGCTCCCATCCAGGGCCCAGGGGTGGACCACTCTGCAGAACCCGATCAAGCCGACCTCTCCGCGCGCGCGGCGCGGCAGACCTGGGTCACTGGGCACCGCGCGGGCGGAGCCCGCCGCCAAGGTCAGCCGGCGCCGAGCCCTGGCGGCCCGCGCGAAATCGCGGCGGGGGGCTCGAGTGCGAGACCGTCGAAGAGAGGGGCCCGCCGCCGCGGACCAGGCACACCGATCTACAGCTCGCAGGTCTGCCGCCGCCGATCGGGTTTCACGGCGAAGGCGCCGCGACCAGGATCGCGCCGACGGGCGAGGGCGCCCCGCCCCTGAAGTCGGGCGGGGCCTCGGATACCTTGGAGGCGCACGCCCGAAAGACGGAGGCCGAGATCGCGCTCGGCGAGCGGGGCGCGCCGTCGATCGGCCGCGGGGGCCCCCGCCGGGGCATCTGGCCGCGGCCGCCGGGGGGGGGCTGTCAAGAAGCCGCGGGCCAGCGTCGATCGGAAGCAGAGGTTCCGCGGCGCGGTCGCCCGCGGCCGCCCCCCCGACGCGGCCCCTGCTCGCCGCGCGCGAAAGGCCAGCTTGGCGGCGGCGACGGCGACGGCGACGACAAGCCCATCGAGTGTCGAGAGGATGCCCACCGCGGCCCCCCTTTCAGCCCCCCTTCGCAAGAGGCAGAGCGCATCGGGCGCGGGCGGGGGCCATCCCGGCAAGCTCTCTCGGGGCCGCGCGGGCGCCGAATTGGCCCCCGACGGTCGCGCGCCGCCGCGGCGGCGCTGCCCGGGCAGACCCGGCACACCGCGCGGCGTTCATGGCCCAGGCGGCGCGGTGCCAGGACTTGCTGGTCGAGGGCCCCAGAGCGAGGGGCAGCGAGGAGGTCCCGAGCGGGGGGCGGGCGCGTCCTCGGCGGGGCAGCGCCCCCCCAGACTCCGCCCCGAGGGGGGGCGCGGGCCTTGGGGGCGCGCCCTGGCGGCGTGGACCAGCCGGCCCGTCGGGGCGGGCAGGGCGCGGCAGCGGGGCGGGGGGGGGCGGGGTGGGGCGGGGGGGGAAGGGGGTGGGCGGGGGCGGGGCCAGGCCCCCCGCGGCGAACGCGGCTGCCGCAGATCTCGCCGAGGGCAGACCTGGCGACGTTCGCGAGAATGGCGGAGTAGGAGCCGCTGGTCAATATTGCGGCTTGCGCATCGGGGCGAGGATGAGAAATTGGCGCGCGGCCCTGCCGAAAGCCCCGCCGACGATGGTTCGCCATCCTGCAGCGAGAATCGGTGGTCGGGAAAATCCCGCCAGCCCAAAAGAACGGCTCCAACGATACCGGGTGCGCGTTCATAAGAGCATCCGCGAGGTCTGGCAGGCCGTGAGAGAGTCTCAGGCCGAGGCCGACTGGCGAGCGAGGGAGGGGGGTCGGCCGCTGAGCGAGTCCGACCCCGACGCGGGAGGCGAGCGTGAAGGGGCGGACGGGGGCATGGGGGTGGGCGCCAGCATTGGGCCACGCGCGCCTGCGGGCGGTTTCGCCGCGGCGCCGAGCCGGCGGGGCTACGGGGCGCGCTGGCGGGCGCTGGGCGCCCGGCGGGTTCGCAGGCCGTTGCCGGCGAGAATCGAGGGCGCGGGGGCGCGGGAAACGTGAGATTCAAGAGGCCCGCGGCGAGGGCCGCGCGGCGCGCCTGTCTAATGAGGGGTGGCCTCGACGCGGTAGGGGCAGCATGTCGGGGCATGGCTCGAGGGCGCGATCGGCGGACAGTCGGCCCGACGGCGCCAGGGCGCGAACCGCCCGGGCGCGGTGGGACTGCCCGGGGAACCAGCGATTCCTGGCGCATTGGCTTCGCGGGCCCACAGGAGGGGGCTCGGCGACATCGGCGAGCAAGCTGGGGCCCTTCGAATGCGGCGGGAGGCGCGTCCCTGGACATAGACTGACGGTAGTCGAGTTGCCGACTGCCATCAGGAAAGACCTTCCACCTCTGCCATTCGCGCGTCGGCAGGTCTTCGAGACTGGCCGAATCTGGCGGGCGCGCACCAGCAGGAAAGGAGCCGCTCATTTCCTCTCCGCAGCCCCTCCCGTCTGTCGGGGCCGCGGCCAGGTGGAAGTGGCGAGCCGCGAATTGCCCGCAGATCGCAGGGGAACTGGGGCAGTTGCAGACTGAGAGCAGCCATGGGGGGCGCGCAGGAAGGGCCCCGCATTGCTATGCGTCAAGACTCGCCCAGCGCGGGCGGGTGCTGACGCGATCGGTCGGCGCGGCCGCCGATCGGGGGCAATCGGTGGATCTTCTAAGGGAAAGTGCGACATCGCGCCCAGCAGCCCAGCGGGCCACGGCCAGGCGGAGCTTGAGAACGCCATCGCACGTGGATCTCACTCAAGTCAAGTTTCCCGACGATAGAATGCTACCGGAGCTACGGCGCAGTCTGCGTCCTTTCCGGCTGGGCCCGAGACGCACCGGCCTGGCGAACCGGTTTGGTCGGCGGCCAGGGCCGGCGGGTCCGAGGTGGCCGTCTCCGGGGCCAGGGTTTTGCGATGCCCCGGCTGCGATGGACCATGAGCGCGCCCGCCCCGTCCCGCGCGGCCCCGCGGGGTCGCGCAGAGGGATCGCAGCAAGATCTCGGACCAGACCGGGACCGGGCGGCGGTTCGACTGGGCGGGTGGACAGGATATTGTTGGTTCGGCGTGGCAGGGCGAACAGCAGTGGGCAGCAATTGCACGGGCCGCCCTGACTCGGATGGGCAGGGTCCCCTGACCTGTTCGCGTCGGTCAGCGACCGAGGGCACGTTTGGGAGAGTTGCGCTGGCGCGTTCGCGCGACGGCGCAGCGCTCGACCCCGCCGCGCCGCTCGGACGCGGCAGAAAGGCAAGGTCGATCGCAAAGCGACCGCCGCTGCGCAGCGCTAGCTAAGACGCCCGTCGGAGGAAGCAGCTCGGGCGAGGTTGCTGCTGAGCGCGACGAGCGGAGATCGGGCGACGACGCCGAAGGGCGCGATGAGCGGATCAGCCTCGACGGGAAGACAGGAGGCTTGGGGCGCCGCGGGCCGCGACCGCGCCGGGAACAATAGTCGCGCGCGTAGATGGCGGAGCCCCAGCCCGCGCCGCGGAACAACGGGCGAAGCGACCACCGAAGGCGCGGGCGAGGGCGGAGACAAGTATCTGAGCAAGGGCGAAGTACGAGGAGCAAGCCCGCATGCAAGGTTCGTCCGGGAGGAGCGGCTAGAGCATGGGCAAGTGCAGGTCCAAACCCGCCCCCGCCAGCAGTCCGCCGGCGGCGCCCACGGGTGGGCGGCGCCGCCCGCGTTTCCCAGGGGGGGGCCGGCGGGTCAACGAGCGCCCGTGGTTCTGCGAGGATGGCGCGCCCAAGCACCCGTTGCGCAGTCGACCCGCATGGCAAGGGTGGGTCGTTTTCCCAGTTTCCCGGATGGGTCGCAAGCGCGCGTGCTCTTCCGACGCAACGTCGGGGGGGGGCTCAACCATCTTGGTGACAGTTGTCTGGCGTGAACAGTTGTGCCCGCGTGCTTCTGGGAGGAATGCGCATCACATCGACGATGCTCTTCGAACGGCGTCCGCCAGCGGCGTCGACTCGTCCTCGCCGCTTGCGCGGCGACGATCTCGCCTCCGTCGTCCTCGCCTCCCTCGCATTTGCCCATTCCACATCGCCATCTCATCGCATCGTTTTTTGTCCTCATCGGTTGCCTCGCCCTCGTCGCCTTCTCGTCTTTCTCGCCCTCGGCCAGCTCGTCCTCGGCCCCCCGGCATTCAAACTTCAAAAGAGGCAACCAAGCCAACCCGCATGTCGATGCGCCCGTGCGCGCCCCGCACAGATCGCCCTTGCCCCCTTTGGCCGTTGCCGCCCGCCGCCCCCGCCGCGCCCAGGTCCGCCTGCGGCGGCGCCGACCTGAGCCTCGGCCCCTCCGCCTGGCGAAAAAGGGGGGGGGGGGGCGGGTCGCCGCGCCCTTCGTGGTCGCACCGGCTTTCCCTGCGAGAAGGGCGCGTGGCGGGCCCGGGTCGGCGGTGCAAAGGGCGTGGAATCGCTGACCCTCGCGGTCGCGCGGGCCTCCTTTGCCAGGAGCGCGGGGCGTGCCTAAGTGGCCCCCGTGGGCCCCAGGACGGCCCCGAAAAGGCCCCAAGTTGGCCCAATCCAGACCTGCTCGTGTCGCTACGGAGATCACAACGGGAGGTGATTGACAACTTTCAGCTTTGGGGGGCCCACGGCGGGCTTCGGGACCGTCAAGAAGCTATTCGGCATGAAGGACGGGCCGTGGGGAACGGGTTGGGCCTTGCGATGAGGGCGCCCGGAGGGGCCCATGGCGGTTTCCGGAATTTTCCACGGCCCAAAAGCGGCCCCGCGACGGCCGCCAGAGAACCCCCAGACAGTTACGAGAAGGACGTGGGACACACACGGTAATGTTTGGGGGGACAGGCCAATGGGGGAACGCATCGATCGCAAATCCTCAGCACCAAGTTGATAAGGGGCCTGATCGCCCGTCTTCGCTTTCAGGCACTTATCGCCGATACATTTGATTCCAGGTCATTGGTTCCCCATCAGAGCGGTTCCCCCTTTTATACTTCCCTTAGGTCACCCGTCGGGGCACAAAGATAGGCGCGCATCGTGCGTCGCGGTCTTGGCCAGAGCGGCTGCCCTTCTCCAAGGGGGCGGCGCGAGGGCGCGAAGATCGCCGCGCACTGCGGGGCGCGATGCGCGAAGTTAGGTGATCGAGTTCCCCCATCAGGTGAGGCGCAAGCGGCAGGGGACCGAAAGCGGCGAGGCACGAGGTGCCCGTACCTGGGGCGCGAAGCCTCGCCTGTGATGCGGGCGGCGGGAGAGGCGACGCGGGGGAGGGCGGGCGGGTTTCGCAGGAGCGCAGCCAGGACCTGTATATTCTGCTCCAGAATGTTCTGGAGCTTTCACAGAGCGTCCTGGATCTCTCTGGAAAGGCCGCAGTGCCCGAGGCATCCACCGGAACCGCTGGACCTCCGAGGTCCCCGATGCGTCTCGGTCCGATGGCGTCCAGGTCCTGGTTGCGACGTAGTTGTAGTTCTCCGCTTCTGGTGGGGGGGCGTCCAGGCGAGCAGGAGTCCCATCGAGTTGACCTGGGCACGCGGCTACAGTTGAGGGAGGAGGAGGAGGAGGAGGGGGAGGAGAGGAGGAGTCCTTGGGCAGACTGTGGAGGGGCCGAGGGCCGAGGCGCCCGGCGGGCAGAGGTCGTTTGTTTCTGCTTGGGCGTTGCGTAATGGGGTCCGCCACAAAGATGTATACGCAGACACCCTGTAACGGATTGCTCCTTGGCCTCAGGGGACGGTGGCGGTGTATAAGTCGCCACTGGGAGCCGGCGGTTTTCTGCACCGCCGCCCTCCCTGAAGAAGGAACATGCAAAATTCGTCGGAAGGTGTTTGTGTATTTGTTTGTTCCGTGGCTGCTGGGTGGCGAGAAATGGGGGGCGGGGGTGAAGAAAGGTGCACTTGGGCGACGACAACATATTGGTCTAACCGCGCCGACATTCGCGCAAGGTCGCGTGTATGTAAGCGGCGCCCTCGTTTCAGCTTAGTTTGCCGCGCTGGCGGCCCGCGTACCCGCGTAAGCCACCGCGTACGGTCGCTACGTCATCTCGCGTAAGACCGGTTTTTGTTCGTCGCCTTCTTGGGGCCCAGG